TACCGTCTCTTCCCCTACCGCACTCCTTCCCTCCCCCCGCCACCGCACTTCCTTGTGCCAGGTCCCCCCCGGTAGACCCCCTCCCCCCTTAGGGTCCTGCCCCTTCAGGTGTGTCCCAGGTAGACGCAGTCAAGCCGGTCGAGGTTGCTGGTGACTCTGGTACTGCTGCGGGTGCTGAGCCTGGGGGTGCTGACTCTGCGGGTGCTGCGCGAGTGGGTGCTGAGCCTGTGGGTACTGAGCCTGGGGGTGCTGCGACTGGGGGTGCTGAGCCTGGGGGTGCTGAGACTGGGGGTACTGAGCCTGGGGGTCCCTCGCGTGGGGGTGCAGCGTCTGGAGCTGCTGAGCCTGGGGGTGCTGTGTCTGGAGCTGCTGAGCCTGGGGGTGCGGCGCTAACAGCCGCTGGACCTACTCGTGTGGCGTCTGGCGGTGCTGGGCCTGGAGGTTCTCTCGGTTCTTCTCGTCAGGGAGCCACTCTCTCCACAGGAGTTGCGCGAGTGGTTTGCCCGGCGCTGGCGGCGTACTGCTACAGCTGGAGCTTTTTGGGCCGCTAAGGGTGCTGGTGCCGCTGGTCCCGGAAGTGCTCGTCCGACTGGAGCTGGGGCTACTGAGGGTGCTGGCGCTGAGGCTACTGCTCTCAGTCCTAAAGGCGGTCCTGCTGCGGGTGCTGCTGGTGCTGCTGGAGGTACTGCAGCTGGAGGTGCTGTTGGCGCTGGTGCTGCCGGATGTGCTGAGGGTGCTGGGGGTGCTGGTGCTGTCCCTACTGTGTCTGGAGTCCCCGCGCGGCCTCGGTCGTACTTCGTTCCGCTCCTTCAGCAGGTTCTTGGTCCTCCTCCTCCCGTAGAGTGTCCACCGCCTGTCCAGTCACAGTCACAGTTACCGCCGGCCTCCCCACTGCCTGCTCCCTCTCCCTACACTGGTCCTACTGGAGGTCTTGCTGAGCGTCGTGAGCCTGCGTCTCGTCCGGCGTTGCCTGTTTGTGCTGCTTGCGCTAGTGGTCGCGGTTCGCGTCAGCGTCCTCCTCCTGTCCCTGGCACGCACCGGATGTCTCTACGTCCGTCCACTGCTCCTTTGCGTGTCCCTTTGCCTTCTCCTCTTGAGTCCTCTCTTCCTGCGCTTGCCGTCCCGGAGTTGGACTCTCTTCGTGCTGCCAGTCCTACTGTCACGCGTCTCCTTACTACAGTCGTCACTGACCCCTCTTTTGAGTCCACTGCTGCGTCTGCTCTTGTTGCTGAGCTCGTCGACTTTGCTGCTCGCTGTCGTCTAGACTACGCTGCTAGTCTTGTTGCTAAGTCTGCGTCTGTCTGTTCTCCGTCCGTCGGGGGTGAGTGTGCCCTTGGCACGGACGTCCTTGAGGACAGGCAGGAGGAAATCCAGTGTCTGGCTGCTGCTTCACCTCATCTCGTGTCCGTACTGCTTACCCCTGAGGGAGACCCGGATGCACTTGACATCCCGACTCCGCGCTCTTACGCGGAGGCCGTAGAGGGTCCCTACTCCTCTCAGTGGCAGGCAGCTATGGATGCAGATATGGCTTCCTGGAAGTCTACAGGCACCTACGTTGACGCGGTTCCCCCTCCTGGGGCGAACATCGTCAGTGGCATGTGGATCTTCAGGGTGAAGCGGCCGCCGGGCTCTCCACCTGTCTTCAAGGCGCGGTACGTGGCTCGTGGCTTTAGTCAGCGGCAGGGAGTTGACTACTTTCAGACCTTCTCTCCCACCCCGAAGATGACCACTCTTCGGGTGCTGCTACACATAGCCGCTCAGCGTGACAACGAGCTTCACTCCCTTGACTTCAGCACTGCTTTCCTGCAGGGTAGCCTGCACGAGGAGATCTGGCTGCGCCGTCCACCTGTCTTCACTGGGACTTTTCCTCCTGGCACCCAGTGGAGCCTCTGGCGGCCAGTCTACGGTCTTTGCCAGGCACCGCGTGAGTGGCACGACACACTAAGGACTACGCTTGCGGCTCTTGGGTTTGCTCCCTCTACTGCTTGACCCGTCGCTGTTTCTGCGCACCGACACCTCTCTGCCGCCGTTCTACATCCTCGTGTACGTTGACGACTTGGTCTTTGCCACTGCTGACACTGTTGGACTCGCCTACGTGAAGTCCGAGCTGCAAAAGAGACACACGTGCACAGACCTGGGTGAATTGCGCAGCTACCTTGGCTTGCAGATCACCCGGGACAGAGCACGCCGCACCATTACCCTGACTCAGTCACACATGGTGCAGCAGGTCCTTCAGCGCTTCGGCTTCACGTACTCCTCGCCTCAGGCCACTCCTCTGCCTACTCGCCACTCGCTCTCAGCTCTGCCTTCGGATGAGTCCGTAGAGTCGAGTGGCCCGTACCCAGAGCTTGTTGGCTGCCTCATGTACCTGATGACCTGCACACGACCTGACCTTGCATACCCTCTTAGCATTCTTGCACGCTATGTTGCTCCTGGGAGACACAGACCAGAGCACATGGCTACAGCGAAGAGGGTGTTGCGCTACTTGTGCAGTACGTCGGGCATGGGGCTAGTGCTTGGAGGGCAGAGTCCAGTGGTCCTCGCTGGGCACGCGGACGCTTCTTGGGCTGACGACCAGGCTACACAGCGGTCGTCACAGGGTTACACCTTCAGCCTTGGTTCCGGCTCTGTTTCGTGGCGGGTTACTCGCTCGTCTTTTGTTCTCGGCTCCAGTTGTGAGGCCGAGATCTACTCCGGGGCCATGGCTGCACAGGAGCTTCGCTGGCTCACCTACGTGCTGACCGACCTTGGAGAGCCGCCTCGTTCTCCTCCAGTCCTGTACGTAGACAACAAGGCCTATGCTGGCTTTGTGTCGAGAGCAGAGACCAGAGCACAGAACAAAGCACATTGCTCTTTACTCCCTTGCTCGTGAGCTACAGCAGCGTGGTCAGTTGCGGCTTGCGTACGTGGCCTCTGAGGCCAACACAGCTGATGTTTTCACCTAGGCACTTGCGCCTTGTGATCATCAGCGCTTCTGTACTCAGCTTGGTCTTGTGCTTGTCTTGCCTCACTTGCTCACTTCTTGACCTTGCTTGTACTGTCACATATATATACTCCTGCTCTTGCTTGTTTAGCATCTTATTTATATATGTGCTCCTGCATGTGAATTGGCCTTCTGGCCTTGAACTTGTGCTCGGACTGTGTGGTGACTTTGTGATCCACCGTGAGCTTGCTTTGCTTGACTGGTCTTGTGACCCCTTGTTCTCCCCCACTTTGCCTATGGGGGTGTGTCAGATTTATATGACATACCTATTGTAGGCTATAGTGGGGTAGCACATATGGGGTACAGTTTTTCTAGGGTTTGCATTTGTACCCAACTTTCACTTAGTCATTCTCATTCTCGTTCTAATTTCCTCAGCGCGCAGCAGATCGTCAGCAGCTGACGAGCGCCAAGTCATCGCTTCTATCGCACGCAGTGTGCGCCCGCCAATTCAGTTCCGCGTCAGCCGTACGCCATACGTTATCCGCTACTGCTTCGCGTCATCCGCAGCTGCAGTCGTCGCAGACGTGCATCCACTGCGGTTTCGCGTCGTCACACAGGAGGCGTGCGAAAAAAACAGCAGCACTAACAATCGCGTGCCGTAAAGTCTACGGTTTCGGAAATTGGGCGTGCGCTAAGGGCATTCCGCCATGATGATACGCGCATTCCGTGATGGTTTCGAGGAGATTTCGCTATGGAGCTGCTACGATTTCCTCAGCAGCAGCCACTACTCTCTAGATCTCGATCTAGAATGTCGAGATTGGAAGGAGGGATTGGAAAACGTGAAGGAAGGTGGCTTGGTTGGAGTTTGGAAGGCCCACGGGTTGGGAGGGGAAAGGTGCTACAGTGACAAGCAGCTTGGCCAACGCCAAACCCTAGCTTGGTTGGGGCGCACCCCTACCTTGTGGTGGTACACCACCTCGACCACCCTATCGTCCAAGGAAAACTAATTCACTAAAACCTACAGCAAGGGGGAGTGTTGGAAATCCGAATACAGTGTAACGAATACTGTATACCAGTGTGCTGTTTGGTTTTAGTGTAGTCCCCTTTATAAGCCTCTAGTTCCTACAATAATTGTCACAATTATTGTAGGACCACAATTATTGGAGCTCAGCATTATTGGAGGGTAGAGGGTACAATGATTGGTACACCATTATTGGTGTGAATGGGGTCATTCTGGAGGGGTAGCTGGATACATATATACCCTGCTGTGTCACTTCTTCATCATTGTATCATCATTCTACTTTTCAATGATCAATGCAAGATTTCTATCTTGTTCTTTTCTACAAACACGTTTCCGCTACGCTGGCACTGTGCCTTTCTAGCAATAGGCATAGCTTGAAACGGGTTCTTCCAGAACTGTAATCGTCCACACACCACACGTACCATCTGGTCAGGCCTGGTCCACCTGCAATCCACCTGGGATAAATCGTTTACTGTGCAGGGCATTCGACTGCCTGAAAGCAGTTTGCTTTACGTCTTCCACCCATTCTGTCTTTGCGCCCATCCCCCTGCTTGCACCAGCCAAACCCGTTGACCTCAACTGACACTAGTGAACCTAGACCTCGCAATTCTGTTGCGAGCCGCTATTTCGGAAACAACCTGCCCGTGTAACTGCGGGTGCTTCTCGTTCCGCCGGCACTGCCCCCGCCTCTGTGACAGGTAGTAACTGTCGTAGGCATCGCATTCCATCGCATGATCGCATTCGAGTCAGGCTGCATCCCAGCTGAGCAAAACTAGGGTTTCTGACTTCTGCCAGCGCGGATAGGCTAATCCGCTCACTCGCGGAAATGATGCGCGGGCAGTTCTAAGGTCGGAAGCGCATGGCGCTGGTCATCCTGGATCGTCTCGCCTCGGCCACAGCGGCCATCATGCCACCCCTGCCTTTGCAGCTTTGCTTCTGTGACGCAGTTCAGTTCAGTGCCATCATTGGAATTTCTGAGTTACCAGGGAACGATCAACGCAGCGAAAGCTTTTGATTACTTCTTAGAAGTTCATGTTTTTTGTCTGGCTTGGAGAAATGGTGGCAAAACGTCCCGCATACGACGGGGTCGGCCGCAGCACTGCCGCCGCGACAGCGCTCCCCTTCCTCCTCCTCCTCCTCCTTCCGGCGACGGCGAACGCTGCGGCGGCTCGACCCTCCATCAGCGCTCTCTTCGACGCCACTGGACCAGCGGCGCGCCGCGTTGGCGGCGCCGGCCGCGCCGAGAATCTCGCGCGGCGGGCGCTTCAAGACTACTCCGACTACGAGCCGTGGGTGGAACCCCCTGAGGAATGCCATGAGGAGCAGGGGAATTTGAATTGCCCCAGTGGCGGCGGGTGCATGCACGAGTCGCAGGTGTGCGACGGCAAGCCGCATTGCTCCGACGGCAGCGACGAGTCGCCCGACTTCTGCCGCGAGTTCGACTGCGAGATCGTTCGCAAGGTGCTTGCGTGCTGCTTCAAACTTCGGACCTCGGTGGCACCGCCGCTTCCTGAACGCTTTCCTTCCTCGCTTTCTAACTTGGATTTCACGTTCTGGTTACTCTCTGCCCATTGTTGAGGCGCCCGCCTGAGTACGGTGCTTCAGAGTCAGGCTCAAAGCCGCAACTCCTTCTCACCCCTTTCCCCTCTCCCCCACAGGTCTTCTGCTCCACGCTCACTGCTTTTGCATGCCTGTTTTTGAGGCGCCTAAGAAATGCGGTGTTCTAGAGTCAGACCCACAGGATCTCCTTCCCTCCCCTTTCCTGCTGTTTTACCACCCTTTACCCCCGCACCAGGTGTCGTGCCCCACGCTTACCGGCTGCATGCCCCAGGCGGGCGAGTGCAACGGCGTGGCGGACTGCGCGGACAGCCGCAACTCTTTCCCCCAACCTTTTCCTTTTTTCTCCTTTTCCCTCGTTTCCCCATTGGGTCCGCCAGGTGTCGTGCCCCACGCTCACGGGCTGCATGCCCCCGGGCAGCGTGTGCAACGGCGTGGCGGACTGCGCGGACGGCAGCGACGAGGGGCGGCAATGCCGGCAGGGCTACCAGGACGACAGCTACTACTGCGCCGACCAGGGCCTCGAGCAGTGCCCCTCCGACCGCTACGCGTGCCTGCGCCAGGAGGATTACTGCGACGGTTACGAGACGTGCTACGGGTACGACGAGGCGAATTGCGAGAAGCACGTGTGCTCGTTTGGGATGATCCAGTGCCCCAAGACGTTCTACTGCGCGTGGGGGACGCTCTGTGACGGCGTGCAGGACTGTGTGATGACTGCTGAGGCTGAGGATGAGGATAAGGCGTTTTGTAGCGGGTATAGCTGCCCGGAGGGGTTTAAGAAGTGTGCGGATGGGTTGCAGTGCGTGGCGGAGGGGTTGTTTTGCGACGGGACGGTGAATTGCAATGATGGGAGTGACGAAGGGGCGGCGACGTGTGCTGTGAACCCCCCTGCTGGGGGTGGAACAGGCGCCGTTACCACTCCTCCTCCTCCTCCTGAGACTGGATCTGGTTCGTCTGGAAGCGGCACTACCACTCCTCCTCCTGCTCCTCCTACTCCTACTGCTACCCCTGGTGGCGGTAGCGGCAGCGGCAGTGGGGGTTCAACTGGGTCGTCTGGAGGCACTGTGGTGCTGAGTGCTGAAGAAGTGGCGAGGCAGAGGAAGGAAGCAGCGGCTCGGAGGGCGGCTGCTGTTGCTGCCAAGAAGAGAGCTGCTGCTGCTAAGCATGCTGCTGTGGAGGCACGGCGGGCGAAGCAGGCGGCGAAAGCAGCTGCGATTGCTGAGAAGAAGAAGAAGCAGGAGGAGAAGGCGGCTGCTGTTGCGGAGAAGAAGAGGCTTCAGGAAGCTAAGGCGGTTGCTATTGCTGAGAAGAAGAGGAAGCAGGAGGAAAAAGCGGCTGCTATTGCTGAGAAGAAGAAGAAACAGGAAGAGAAGGCTGCTGCCATTGCTGAGAAGAAGAGGAAGCAAGCAGAAAAGGCGGCTGCAATTGAGGCTAAGAAGAAGAAGCAGGCTGAGAAGGCTGCGGCGCTAGAGGCTAGGAAGGAGAGGGAGGCTGCACGGGCAGCAGCTGCGACCAAGTGAAGGGGAACCGACAAATAATATGTAATAATACGTTTTTGTATCGTGCATATGTTGCTTTCCTGTAACATGGTGTCAAAAAAATTTGTCTTGCTGTTTTGTTTTGTTTTGTTTTGTTTTGAAGTTGGTGCAATCTCAATCAGTCAAGTACCATAATCATACCAGAACAAGTGCACCAGCAGCACAAAGAGCCACGTAGAGCCATAACAAGAAGGCTCTGTGACCTTACTTACACTCGAGAAGAACTAGAGCCATATTTTAAAGAAGGGGAACAGAACAGGCAGGCTACAGTATTTCTCCTCTCTTTTGTTTCACAGAATAAGCCGGCCATGTGCATCCCAGGGTCTACTACTGTACGCCTTGCCCTTCATGGATCGCTTCTTGGCGATGCTGCCATCCTCCTGCCGGTAGTCGGGGAAATAGTCCAGGAAGGCCTTGGTGCCGAGCTCGTGGGACCCCGCAAACAGGAACCCCTCGATGAACTCCTGGCAGGGGGTGAGGATGGGGTGGGGGAGGTGGTGGGGGTGGGGGGTTGAAGGTGGAGACAATTAGTCCAGGAAGGCCTTGGTGCACAGCTTGTGAGACCCCGCAAGCAGGAACCCTTCAATAAGCTCGTGGCAGGGGGACGAGAGGGCAGAAGGGAAGGGAAGGAGGGTGAGAGTGGACAGGAGGGTGAGAGTGGACAGGAGGGTGAGAGTGGACAGGAGGGTGAGAGTGGACAGGAGGGTGAGAGTGGACAGGAGGGTGAGAGTGGACAGGAGGGTGAGAGTGGACAGGAGGGTGAGAGTGGACAGGAGGGTGAGAGTGGACAGGAGGGTGAGAGTGGACAGGAGGGTGAGAGTGGACAGGAGGGTGAGAGTGGACAGGAGGGTGAGAGTGGACAGGAGGGTGAGAGTGGACAGGAGGGTGAGAGTGGACAGGAGGGTGAGAGTGGACAGGAGGGTGAGAGTGGACAGGAGGGTGAGAGTGGACAGGAGGGTGAGAGTGGACAGGAGGGTGAGAGTGGACAGGAGGGTGAGAGTGGACAGGAGGGTGAGAGTGGACAGGAGGGTGAGAGTGGACAGGAGGGTGAGAGTGGACAGGAGGGTGAGAGTGGACAGGAGGGTGAGAGTGGACAGGAGGGTGAGAGTGGACAGGAGGGTGAGAGTGGACAGGAGGGTGAGAGTGGACAGGAGGGTGAGAGTGGACAGGAGGGTGAGAGTGGACAGGAGGGTGAGAGTGGACAGGAGTGGGGGGGGAGAAACGTCTTGCTGCCCAGCTCGTGCGACCCTGTAAACAGTAACCCTTCTATGAACTCCTGGCAGCGGGGGATCAGGTAAAAGCAAAAGGAAAAGGTCGCAGAAAAATATTGTCAACAGAGAGACAGTGAGCATGGATAGTCTGAGCAAGAGGAGAATGATCAGGAATGATCCTGAGAATGCATCAAAGGAGTTGGAAAAGCATGACACAAGAAAGAGGGGTCAGTGAGGGGGACCCTCAAGAGTTGACTTTTGAGTCGACTCAAAAGTCAAGAAAGAGGGGTCAGTGAGGGGGACCCTCAAGAGTTGACTTTTGAGTCGACTCAAAAGTCAAGAAAGAGGGGTCAGTGAGGGGGACCCTCAAGAGTTGACTTTTGAGTCGACTCAAAAGTCAAGAAAGAGGGGTCAGTGAGGGGGACCCTCAAGAGTTGACTTTTGAGTCGACTCAAAAGTCAAGAAAGAGGGGTCAGTGAGGGGGACCCTCAAGAGTTGCAGGTGAACTGGAAGGAGGCCGATGGCAGAAACGGGATTGGCGGGGGCGAACTCACCTCACATCTCTCAGAGCCAAACAGGCGCGTTAAAAGTGGCCGCCCGGGGTCCTGGATGGGAGTGGGTGGACGGGTGAATGAGTGAATGAGTGATTAGGTGAATGTGTGAGTGTGTGAATCAGTGAGTGAGTGAGCGAGTGTGTGAATCATGGATTAGGTGATTGTGTGTGGACAGGTGGAGGAACGATAAAGAGAGGAGAGCGGGAGAGAGAAAGAGACGGAGGGGAGAGAGAAGAGAGGGAGTAAGGCTGGTGAAAGGAAGACCAGTGAGATGCGGGAGACAAAGATACCCGTTAACAGCATCTCCTTCACTGTGTGCGCCAGCAATAGTGAAGGGAACACAAAACCCAGCAAGGCCCTTACCTTGACAGAGCGCCAGCAGATGTAGCGGTGCTGTGACTCCATGTTGTGTGCCATGACTGCTGGGTCGCTGGTGGGCTCACATGCCTCTACCATGCGCAACCATGCCTGCACATAGTAGGGATGGAAAAGAGCAGGGTGAAGGGCAGTGGGGAGTGGGGAGTGGGGAGTGGGGAGTGGGGGGAGAAAGGCAGTAGCTCGTGGGCTCACAAGCGACTACCATGCGCAACCATGCCTGCACGCGACAGAGGGAAGAGAAGGGCTCGGGGGAGGGGGGTAGGGGAAAGGGGTAGGGGAAAGGGGTAGGGGAAATGGAGGAGGAGACAGGCAGATGCCATGACTGCTGGGTTGCTGGTGGGCTCACATGCGTCTTCCATGCGCAGCCATGCCTGCTTGCAGTAGGGAGGGGAGAGAGCAGGGGGGTAGGTGTAAGGGAAGGGGAAAGGAGTAAGGTGCCAGAATAAACGGTCGCTGGTGGGTTCACATGCGCCTACCATACACAGCCACGCTTGCATGCAGTGAAGGGAGGGGAAGGAGGGGATGTTCACAAAGACGCACGGAGGACGCACGGCGATTTTTTTTCTGGGCTGCCGGAAAAAAAATTCCGATCGCGAAATTTCGCCCCCCCTTGCCCAAATCGCCATTCTAAAACAGCCCCCCCAACATTTCATAACCCTTCATGCAAATTTAAAATTCTCAAACCTCTCAACCACTTCACATCTACAAAACACACACACACACACGCACGCACGCACGCACGCACGCACGCACGCACGCACGCACGCACGCACACACACACACACACACTCCAAAAGCACAAAGTCACTTTTGAGTCGACTCAAAAGTCACCAAAAGCACAGCACACTCCCTGCCATCATTTTCTCCACGGTTGAAATCAGTTGGTTTCGATCCGCAGCAAGCCTACTAAGAGTTCCCGAATGTTCTATAGCATACTCCCTGCCATGATGTCTTTTAGATGTCCCAAAAAGTACACCTTAAACAAGTGCCAACCATGACTTGTTGAGTCAGCCACGCACCTGCAGGTACTCCTTGAAGGCGGGCAGCACGTGGGCAGTGACGTCAGCATCTAGGGGCAGCTTTGCCCAGAGGAGAGCCGGGGAGAAGAACTGAAGCGACTCCGCTGTGAACTCGCCGCCCCATGGCAGGTGCTGCAGGGAGGGTGTGGGAGGAAGTGAAGGGAGGACAGTGACAGGAGGGAGCTGTGAACGCATTCCCCCATGGCAGGTGCTGGTAGTGGCAGGTGCTGGTAGTGGCAGGTGCTGGTAGTGGCAGGTGCTGGTAGTGGCAGGTGCTGGTAGTGGCAGGTGCTGGTAGTGGCAGGTGCTGGTAGTGGCAGGTGCTGGTAGTGGCAGGTGCTGGTAGTGGCAGGTGCTGGTAGTGGCAGGTGCTGGTAGTGGCAGGTGCTGGTAGTGGCAGGTGCTGGTAGTGGCAGGTGCTGGTAGTGGCAGGTGCTGGTAGTGGCAGGTGCTGGTAGTGGCAGGTGCTGGTAGTGGCAGGTGCTGGTAGTGGCAGGTGCTGGTAGTGGCAGGTGCTGGTAGTGACAGGTGCTGGTAGTGGCAGGTGCTGGTAGTGGCAGGTGCTGGTAGTGGCAGGTGCTGGTAGTGGCAGGTGCTGGTAGTGGCAGGTGCTGGTAGTGGCAGGTGCTGGTAGTGGCAGGTGCTGGTAGTGGCAGGTGCTGGTAGTGGCAGGTGCTGGTAGTGGCAGGTGCTGGTAGTGGCAGGTGCTGGTAGTGGCAGGTGCTGGTAGTGGCAGGTGCTGGTAGTGGCAGGTGCTGGTAGTGGCAGGTGCTGGTAGTGGCAGGTGCTGGTAGTGGCAGGTGCTGGTAGTGGCAGGTGCTGGTAGTGGCAGGTGCTGGTAGTGGCAGGTGCTGGTAGTGGCAGGTGCTGGTAGTGGTGGGAGAGTATTGTGGGTGTGGGGGTTGTGGGGGGTGTGGGGGTTGTGGGGGGTGTGGGGCGGAGAGGGAACGTTGTGAGAGATGTCTTTGGAGATAGCTTGCCCCAGAGGAGTGCCGGAGAGAAGAAGTGCCCGTGGGGGGGGGAGGGGAGGGATAAAAAGGAGGAGATTAGAAGAGATGGGAGGAGGAGAGGAGGGAAGGAAAGACAAAAGGAAGCGGGGCGGAAGGGAGATGTAATATTGTGATTGATGAAACAGCACCTCAGTCCACGCCATACCAGTCAACAGACAGTAGCACATATGACCGCACAGAACCACAAAGCAACACACAGCACCGCACATTCGCCTACCTCGCATCTCTACCTGGAGATACTCGTTCCACATCAGGCATGATGCGCGCAATGGACTTGATAAATTGCTCCTCGCGCAGCACCACACAGCACCACACACACTATTTCATGGCTCTTCCTAAATATACCTGGGCTTGATGGGCGCAATGCCCTTGCTGAAACGCTTGTAACACACACACACACACACACACACACACACACACACACACACACACACACACACACACACACACACACACACACACACAATCCACACAGCACCGCACAGTACCACCCACATATACCAGCTGTGCTGTACCTCGATGTGCTTGTTGGCAATGGGCATAATCGGCGCAATGTACTTGCTGAAATGCTCAAAAGACACAGCACCACACAGCACCGCACAGCAATGCCCTCTACCTCATAGCACTACCTCGATGTACTTGTTGGCGATGGGCATGATGGGCGCAATGTACTTGCTGAAATGCTGCTCACTCTGATGCAATGGGTTGAGATCCCTGCACGGCAGTAAGGGAGGGGGAATCCAGGAGGAGGGGTGGTTGGATAGAGATACGATACACGAAGAGGGGACAAGGAAACGTAGCACAGCGAGTAATAGAGAAGAAGGTAGCAGAGATAAAGCGACTGCCGAGAAACATCGGGACCGTGCCACTCACTACCGCTGAGTAATAATGCTGAGGTACCATTCAGTGTCACAAAGGTACCACGCAGCACCGCTGATCACCACTAAGCACAAAGCACACACACACAGCACGATGAGCATGGCCCGTGGGAAGATGACAAGGTTGGCACAGAAGTAGCGCAGAAGGCTGAGGCACCGCGCAGCACCACTGGCTACCGTTGAGCACCACATTGAACACTTGCAGATGATGAGGTGGCCCTGGGCGGAAGTGACGAGGTCCGCCCAGAAGTACCACTCAGGACCGCTGGCTACCGTTAAATACTGCACAGGGCACTTACAGCACGATGAGGTGGTGTGGCCCTGGGCGAAGGTGACAAGGTCGGCACAGAAGTACCACCTAGTACCGCTGGCTACCGTAAAGCACCGCACTGGATACTCACAGCACGATGAGGTGGCCCCAGGGGGAAGGTGACCAGGTCGGCACAGAAGTATGGCAGGTCGTACTCGGGGCGGGGGAAGGCTATCAGGTTCAGCACCTGTGTGTGTTGGGAGGGGGGGAGGAGAGGGCGTAAAAGGGAGGAATGGGATGTTACAGGCCCCTTGAAACAGAAGTATGGCAGGTCGTACTCAAGGCGAGGGAAGGCTATCAGGTTCAGCACCTGTGTGTGTTGGGAGGGGGGGAGGAGAGGGCGTAAAAGGGAGGAATGGGATGTTACAGGCCCCTTGAAACAGAAGTATGGCAGGTCGTACTCGGGGCGGGGGAAGGCTATGAGGTCCAGCACCTGCATTTCACATGTGTGTGTCGTGTGGGGAGAGGGGACGGAGTAAAGGGAGGAAGGAGGGATCGGGTGTGACAAAACCAGGTCGGCACACAAGTATGGCAGGTCGTACTCGGGGCGGGGGAAGGCTATGAGGTTCAGCACCTGTGTGTGCAACAAGAGTGTGTGCGTTAGGAGGGAATGGGAGAGGTCGAGGGATGGGATGTTAGAAGGCACTCCCAATGGAAGTATGGCAGATCTTACCTCGGGGCAGGGGAAAGCTATCAGGTTCAGCACCTACTTTTTTCCACGTACCGCCCCAAACCTCTCACTGCTCTGCTTCCTGCACCAAGTCCCACGGTTCCCACCCACCTACCCCAACGTGCGCCCAGCGCTGATACCGGCGGAGCGCATGGGGCGGATCCGCACTAACTGCCACGCTGCCAGCCATGATGCCATTACTACTACCACATACCATGCTCATCATTGCTACCACATGCCATGCCCATCACTGCTACCACATGCCATGCCCATCACTGCTACCACATGCCATGCCCATCACTGCTACCACATGCCATGCCCATCACTGCTACCACATGCCATGCCCATCACTGCGCTGCTCTGCTCTGCTCCTTGCCAGGGCTCCCTTGCTCACCTGCAATGTGCGCCCGGCGCTGATGTCAGCGGAGCGCATGAGGCGGATCTTGGGCGCACTCACTGCCACGCTGCGACAGAACGCCTTCCCCCCCTCGCCGTCACTGCCCTCCAACACCTGCCAGTCCGACTGGCGAAAAGGGGGAGAGGGGGCGAGAAGGAGACTATTTTGAGTTAAATTCCCCCCCCTAACCATCACTGCCCTCCAACACGTGCCAGTCCGGCTGGTGTGAAGACAGGTGTGGGGGGCCCAGAGAGAAGGAAACATGAGGCGTTCCACTCCCCCCCGTGTTGTCACTAACCTTCAGCGCCTGCCAAATCCGGCTGGGAGTGGGGAAAGAGGGAGAGGAGAGGGAAGACGAGGGGGGTGGGGAGGGGGTGGGAAAGAACTAGGTAATAGGCGAACGTGGTGAAGGTATTGACGGAAAGAGGACTGAGAAGGTATTGACGGAAAGGGGCCTGAGAATGTATTGATGGAAAGGGGACTGAGAAGGTATTGACGGAAAGGGGGCTGAGAAAGTATTGACGGAAAGGGGACTGAGAAGGTATTGACGGAAAGGGGACTGAGAAGGTATTGACGGAAAGGGGACTGAGAAGGTATTGACGGAAAGGGGACTGAGAAGGCATTGACGGAAAGGGGACTGAGAAGGTATTGACGGAAAGGGGACTGAGAAGGTATTGACTGAGAACAACAGCAATTACCTCACACCATGCAAAGCTGAAAGCCAAAAACTGAGAGCACGTGTTACATACCCGTACGGGGATGGGCGAGAGCGGCATGTGCTGACCTGGCCTCCACACAGTGGTTTTTTAGTCGACTCAAGAAGAACGCACACCCCACACCATGCAAACCAGAGAGCACGTGTTACATACCCGTACGGGGATGGGCGAGAGCGGCATGTGCTGACCCATGGCCTGCACACAGTGCTCCACAAACTCTGTATACAGTCCCCTCTCCCTCTCCCTCTCACTCCCTCCCTCACTCTCTCCCCCTCTGCTTCCCACCTCCGCTTCCGCTCCTGCGCCCCTTCCGCCGCTCTGCTCCCCCTCCCTCTCCTTCAATACTGTCACATTCCCCTGCGGCGGGCTGCTGGCCGCACTAGAAGCACCTTCCGCGCTTTCACCTCCGCCGCGCGCGGCGGAAGCACGCGCGCATCCCGCCCTGTGGCTACGAGGCGTGCGACTGCGAAGTTGGTCGCTCGCGCGCAGTGCGCGGAGCTGGTGTGCTGCGCGCGCCAAGGCAGGCCGCGGAAGCGGAAGGCGGAACTTTGGGGTGCCGTACGAAGTGCAAGACAGGACGACGGGCGTGGGTAGTGGGAGTCTTTTCGTGAAACGCCCTGAAACGAGTCGTACATTGCTAGTTGGCGTCGCCGCGGACGGCGCTGGGAAGGCCAATGGCATCATGGCGTTAGGCGGAGTGGAAGCAACGGAAAATTAGGAGATAACACGCGCTGCAAGCTGGTTTTCTGAGAATTCTCAAATCCACGCGCCGCGTTAGGCGCACTTTCCAATGCACCGCCCCGACGCACTGTACGCGTGTTAGGACGCCTTAAATCTCGCGACTTGCAGCAAATCGGGGTGACTATGTCGTTCGTGGCACAGAAATGTTGCAGATTTAGAGGCTTGTGAGTTGTGACATAGTCGGGTTGCGAAGTAAAACAGGAACAAGCTTCAGGAAAAAACTGCTTGGGAACCGAAGAAGGCAAGAAAAGGAGTCTTGGGAATGGCCAATTTGTCAGCGAATTCGTTTGTCCCAAGATGTTTGTCAGAAAGGAGTCTTGAAAGGGATTCGGGCAGTTTCTGTTGGTGGTGACCAATAAGAGGGTGTGGCGTGGCATTTCTCATGCAAAATGCTGCTGATTTCGGTCAACGTTGCATTCCCAGTCTCGAAACTTTCAGACGATGCAGATGAGACAGGAAAACCGCTTAAGTCTACTTCAAGAATCACTATAAATATATGGAGGTCAATCCACCCCTAAATTGTATTTCAAGTGATCCTCTCCGATGCTTACAAAGAGCACAGGGCCACAACCGTTCTTCGCTCGTTACCAGCCACCAGTGCTCGTTGCACTGCTTCCAACAAGCATTCATTTGCTGTAAAATTTTGTATTGAACTAGGCTTTGGGAATAGCCCAAACCTCTTTACCAGCATTGCACAGCCTACGTCATTTTCCCAGGTTATGATACTGGTACTCGGTGGCAGTACTGCAGACAGTCACTCACCACCACCCTACATGCCTTCTGAGGCGCCTCAGAAGTGTTCGACTTTAGTACGCTCAGCATCTCAGGCGTTGGGCAGCAGCAGCCCCAGCAGCAGGTTGAAGAGCAGCTGCACCCAAGTGTTCACAGGGCCTGCCCGGCTGCAGCATTGCATGCAGTAGGTCACCCTCAACCCCACATGCCTCAAAAGCCTGGCACTCTCAGAAGCATCTCAGCCAGTGGGCACGAGCAGTCCCAGCAGCAGGTTGAATAGCAGCTGCACCCACATGTCCACAGGCCCCGGTGGTGCCTCAGAAGTGTAATAGTACTCTCAGAAGTATCTTGACCAGCGCGCATAAACTAGTCCCAGCAGCAGGTTGAATAGCAGCTGCACTGCACCCACGTGTCCACAGGCTCCGGGTGGCAGCATTGCAGGCAGTCCCACCGCCGCCCCACACACCTTACGAGCGCCTCAAAAGAGCTACTCCGAACCCTCAACCGCTAGGAAAAAGCAGCCCCAGCAGCAGGTTGAAGAGAAGCTGCACCCATGTGTCTCTGGGCCTGGATGCCTGTAGTGCAGGCAGTCCCACCGCCCCAAAAGTGTGCTCTCAGCATCTCAGCAGATGAAACAGCAGCTGCACCCACGTGCCCACGGGGCCCGGGTGGCAATAGTGCCAGCAGTCCCAGCGCCCCACATGCCCATCAACCCGCCACATAAGTGCTACCAAACACCCTCAACCGCTAGGAACAAGCAGCCCCAGCAGCAGGTTGAAGAGAAGCTGCACCCACGTGTCTCTGGGCCCGGATGGCAGTAGTGCAGGCAGTCTCACCGCCCCAAAAGTGTGCTCTCAGCATCTCAGCCAGTGGAACAAGCAGCCCCAGCGGCAGATTAAACAGCAGCTGCACCCACGCGTCCACGGGGCCCGGGTGGCAATAGTGCAAGCAGTCCCAGCGCCCCACATGCCCATCACCCGCCACATAAGTGCCACCAAACACCCTCAACCGCTAGCACAAGCAGGCCCAGCAGCAGGTTGAAGAGCAGCTGCACCCACGTGTCCACAGGGCCCGGGTGGCAGTAGTGCAGCAGTCAGTGTCAGTCACCCACCACCTGGCCACCACTACTAGGCACGAGCAGGCCCAGCAGCAGGTTGAAGAGAAGCTGCACCCACGTGTCCACGGGGCCCGGATGGCAGTAGTGCAAGCAGTCCCAGCGCCCCACATGGCCATCAGGCCGCCACACAGTCGACGCATTCACATCCATGTACACACCCCCCACGCCCTCCACCAGCCGCCTCACAATCCCATTCTGCGCTGCAAACCCGTCCCAGTGCCAGTCGTCATGCGGCAGCTCCAGAAGCTTCTTGGAAAGCGGCTTCCTGTGCAGCCAGCACCCGGGGTGACCAGCAGGGGTGTTTCGGGCGATAATGAGGAGCTCGGGGTGGGCCTGCCGGAGGGCCAGCAGAGTGGACTGCAACTGCCGCTCAAACCTCTCATCTTCAATGTAGTGAGCGCCTCGGTTTATCACCACCATCGATACGTTCTGTGCTGCGATCTCGTCCATCCACGACTCGTCGAAGCTCCTGTCCAGTAAGAAATCGTTCACGTCTTCCATGGAGTTGAGGTAATAGTCGCGGACGAAGAAAACCCGCACGGAGAAGCCGAGATCCGCGCAGAGGTGGAGGGTCCAGCAGCGCGGGTCTTTCTTCTTGGTCGCGTTTTGGTACCGCTGGCAGTAGGCAGTCGGCTCACCCCACTGTACCCGGGGCTTGGCAGAATCCTCCTCCTGGTCCTTGGCGTTGGCGTTGGCGCCTAGTCTCACGTTGAACCGGATTGCGTCGGCTAAAAGCAGGTTCAATGAGTCGCCCACTATAAGCATGGTTCTTTTGTCCATAACTTCGCAGAACTTTTCTGGGGAGAACTGTTCCCAAGGTGCACCGCATGATCTGCTGCTGCCGTTGGTAGCTCCTGATGCTCCCCCACCCTGCCCGTCTGCGTCGCTTTCTGGAACCTTCCAGAAATACTTAAGAGTATCTCGTACAGCCCACTTACGCAGAAGTGCATCCTTCCGTCGCTTGAGCCGCTTCAACTGGTTGACCTGTGGCGCAGGAATCGCGTCTCCTCCCCCTATAATCTCCTCTATCTGACTCGCGACCTCCTGAAACTGTCCCACCATGCGATCCGCGTCTTGCAACGCCACATTGCGCGAGTCCTTTCCCAAGTGGAACGCGTCGCATTTGCTCATCTCGTCCGGCCATGGCAGTAGTCGTGGTGAGACGAAGTGGGACCACTCGCCCTCACGGCCGATGCAATCAAATCTTTCTCGGAAGGATCGGATCTTTTCGGGGGAATCTAGCACGGAGCCTGGGATTCGGGTCCACAGGCTTGGTGCAGGTTCGGATTGAGGAGCTTCGGTAGGAGGGTTGGGAGAAGGTTCAGTTGCAGGTTCGGTGGAGAGTGGGTCGGAAGGAGGTTTGGTAGGTGGATCGGTGGGAGTAAGAGATCCGACACTGGGATCATCGGACGATGGGGATGTCTGTGTGGATGACTCTTCTGGCGCCTCGGTAACTGCTGAGCCTGAGGTAGAGTTTGAGGTAGTGAGGTTTGATGGGAATGCCGTTGTGCTGTTTACAGGCGAAGGGTCGGCGACTGGAAGGCGAGACGACTCGGCTACTGCAGCAACCAGCCGATCGCCGGCAGACGGTTGATTGGTGGGAGACGGTTGATCGACGGCTGACAGTGATTGATTCCCGTCAGGTTGACTGCTGGCGGATGGTTCGAGCAGCAGCTGACCTGTCTCACGCGGCTTCTGTACTTCTGCGAATAGTAACTCGTCGTGTCCAGCTGCTGCTTTTCCCGATCTTTCTGACGTGGCCGCGAGCACGTCTGCCACGTCAGGATGGCACGAAGCAGCAATGGAGGCGATTCTTGTATACCGAACGAGGAGAAAGGAGATAAAGTACGTGTATAGCCCAATGAGAGCGAACAAAACGGCGAGAGCGATGGCGACGCGGGCGTGAATAGTTAGTAATTTCTCCGCTTGCCATTTCCGGGGTTTTGTCGTCGCAGCGCCTTCAGGTCCGTCGCAAGCTCTGCTCAGCAAAGCAAGACTCGCTCGCTCTGACGGCGAACAAAGCAGCGCCATAGGGAGCGGTGCGTAGCTGGCGTGTTACTCCTAGGAGTACTAGTCGTCGCCGCTGTCGCTCTGTCAAAGTTGTGGACACTCTACTTTCAGCGGTGTTTTTTTTTTTTTTTTTTTTTAAACGAAGTGCAATACAGATACCTTACGATATTAGCTTTCGCGCTGATTAAGAGACTTGATACTATGTCGCCGTTGACGGCGCAACGAGGAGGAGCATATGATAAGCCCGAGGCACAGACGGATGGAGGGTGGATGACCGTACTGTACTTTAGACGGTTATTTGTATCTCTGTACAGTACTGTAACGTGCAGTACGGCGCAGTGCGATAACAGTCCTTACTGAAGGCGTCCGTACGACTTGTACGACTTCTTCAGCTGGAAGTTGGAGGTTGGTGGATTGAAGGAAATGAAAATCGACGAGAAACTCGGCAGACCAATTGCAGGCCGGGGAGTGATGGTGGAGGTTATCAGATCGGAATCCGGATAGCGTTTCGGACCACTGTGTAACGCATAGAAACTCTCAGGAATGACCCAAACCATCTTACGCCCATCGATCTCCCCAAAGCCCAATTGCAGGCTGAGGGGTGGAGGTAGCGGTTATCAGGTGGGATAGCACAGTGTAACGCATGGAAATGCTCCGAACTTACTCAAACCATCTTGCGCCCATTTATTTCCCCGACGCCGGCCGATCAGCACTCTGGAAGGCGAGTGGGGGGCCACGTATATTATCGTGCGGAAACAGCGGACGCTGTGATATTTTTGTTTTTCATACATACACTTTTGTGAACGTGAAACGCGAGGACGACAAGAGCGCGTACAAGAAAGCACCCCTCCCCGTCTCCCCCCTTCAATGCACAAGCTGAAATCCAGAATCCGTGCATTCGTGAATGGCAAACAAACGGAATGACGCACTAGCCGTTTCAATCCCGTCGCTGGCCCTCAGGAAACAGCTTCAGTCTGCCAATTAACCGTTGGAATGACGCGGCGAATGCGCAAGTTGCCCTAGTCACTCAGATTCAGCGTATAGCATCTTGCAAGGATGAAGAGGCTGCTGTCCTCGATATTGCCGGCCTCGTTGCGAGCCATGTGGCCGTTCGTGCTGCCATGGATCCTGCCGGGGTGGTTCTTTCTGATGCTGACGGGGATAGTAGAGGCATGCAAACGAGGAACCGTTTCCGAGACGCTACTATTTGCTGGTACTAACGGAACGATGCTGCTGTTAGCGGATCAATGCTACATTATTTGGCTGCTGAGTTCGTGCGTTTAACGATTGCAATCCAGGCGCATGTTCACGTCAGTATGCACGTGTGACTGTAGGTGTGCGCGGAGCAAGGTGCATCGTACGAGAGCTCAAACCCCCTCCCCTCCCCCCCACCTTCCCTCTCCCCCTCCTCCCCCTCTCCCCCCACCCCCCTCCTCCCCCCTCTCCCCCTCTTCTTTTCGTCTCAAAAGGTTCTGTTGATATGAGACTTGCGAATGCGCTAATTGTCCGTATCCCCACGCGTGTGACTATAGGCGTGCGTGGAGCAACGTACATCGTAGGAGAGCTAAAAAAAAACCTCCAACCCCCTCCCTCCCCCGCTTCCTTTTCGTCTCCCTGATTCTGCTGACATGAGACTTGCAAATGCGCCAATTGTCCGTATTCCCACGCGTGCATGCGCATGGATCCATGCGTTCCTGTGCGTGCCTTCATGTGTGCATGCATGTGTCCATGCCTGCTCACATCGTTGCCTGCGTGCTTGCATGCGTCTCTACATGCACGTGTCTGTCCATGCTATGCCATGCCATGCTATGCCATGCCATGCCATGCTATACCATGCCATGCCATGCCATGCCATGCCATGCTATGCCATGCCATGCTATGCCATGCCATGCTATGCTATGCCATGCTATGCCATGCCATGCTATGCTATGCCATGCCATGCTATGCTATGCCATGCTATGCCATGCCATGCCATGCATGCATGTTCATTTCCCCTCCACCATCCCCTGCCAGTCGCGCCCATAACCATCTGGATACTGCTGGGGAGAACGCTCACCATCATCTCTTCAAGGCCCTTCTTCCCAACCTTCATGTCCTTATGGGTGCCTTCATCTGTCTTTATGCATGTTCATCCCCTCCCCACCATCCCAGTCGCGCCCATCACCATCTGGATACTGCTGGGGAGAACGCTCACGCTCACCATCGTACACTCAAGACCCTTCTTCCCCTCTGTCTTCTCCGCTATCAACCTCCTCGCCTATGGAACCTTCCTGTTCCTCCTCCGCTACCGTGAGTGGCGCACACACACGTGCGGGCTCACACACACACACACACACACACACACACACACACGCACGCACGCTCATTCGCACCATCATCTTTTCACGACCCTTCTTCCCTTGTCTCATCCCCACCATCGACCTACTCGCCTATGGAACCTTCCTGTTCCTCCTCCGCTACTGTGAGCAGCACACAACACACACACTCTTGCAGGTGTTAGCATGCTGATTCCCAATGCGCCAATCGCCGTCCATTTGTCTTCCCCTCCCTCACCTCCGCCATCAACCTCCTCGCCTATGGCACCTTCTTGTTTCTCCTCCACTACCGTGAGTCGCACACACACACGTGTGACAATTTCAAAATGCCAATGCCTGATACCCACATCATCTGCAACTACATTGTTCCATCCAATCCAAAAACCCTTTTCCACACGCATACCCACCCACCCTTCCTGCCTCCATCCATGCCCCCTTCTCACTCCAACATGCGTTTCACGACACCTCTATTCTCCTATGCACCGCCTCTGTCGATCTAGTTCTCCCGCCACACTTCCAGTGAGCCCAATCGCCTATCACTCAAGCCTCATTTCGCCTCTATCCCTCCTCTCTTCCCCTTTCCCCCGTGCTATCCAGGCGTCTCAGCGTTGCTCGGTGCAATGGTTCACGCCTCTGTTGCTGTCGTCTTCCCACTCTACTTCCTGTGAGCTCTACCAGCACCACTCGTGCTTCTCCATTTCTCAACACTTTCGCTCCATTCAATTTCCGATCCATGGCATTCCGCTGCTTCTGGTAAGGCACCGTGTAAATGATCCATCGTACTCCTCACGGTCCCTCGTTCAGGCACCTCAAAATTTGCGAGGCGCCCCAAGGCTTGCTCTGACAAGGCACCTTGTATGCAAGGTGAAGAATCCTGCCCAAAGGCGAGCCCCCGAGTCATGGAGCACAGATCCCCTGAAATGAGGGACAGCGCGGGGAGGAGGTGAGAGAAGCTCAGTCCCTTCTCCCTCTGTCCCTTCCTCCATCCTCCACCCACCTTTCCACCGCTCAGCACCTACCACACAGATCCCGGTTTCATAATCAAGGGCGAGCCCCCAGCGAGTTATGGGACACATATTCCCTGCAGTGAAAGGCAGCGTGGGGAGGAGGCAAGTGGAGTGCAATCTGTTCTCCCCCTGTCCCCGTCTCCATCCTCCCCCCTCACCCAATCCCCCCAGCACATACCACACTGATCCCGGATTCATACCCAAGGGCGAGCCCCCACCGAGTTATGGGGCACATATTTCCAGCAGTGAGGGGCAGCGCGGGGAGGGGGCGGGAGGAGTGCAGCCCAATGGGTGTGGGATGGCAGATGGTGGAAGTGTGAGAGGGGGAGGCGGTGAGGTGGCAGCGCAGCAGCAGGGAAAGCAGGATTTGCAGCACGGGGAGCAGGAGTTGGGACAGGGGCAGGGGCAGAGGCAGGGGCAGGGGCAGTTGAATGAGGAGCAGTGGCAAAGCTGGTACAGGCAAGTGAGGGAGTGGGAGGAACAGCAGCAGAGGCAGCGAGAGCAACAGCAGCAGAGGCAGCAAGAGCAACAGCAGCAGCAGCCGCAGCAGCAAGGGCAGCAAGGAGGGCTGGTTGTGCGAGGGAATGAGACTGGAGCAGCACCTTCACATGACGTACGATGTGTATGGGGCGGGAGAAAGAGTGGGGAAAGGGAGAGAGGGGAGGAGGGGGGGCGTGCGTGTGTGTGCGTGTCTGCATGTGTTTGTGTGTGTGTGTGTGTGTGTGTGTGTGTGTGTGTGTGTGTGTGTGTGTGTGTTTGTCTGTGCGTGGAAGAGAGGGGGGGAGAGGGGGTGTTCACGTGCACGTTTCTTCGTGGTGACACTTGTATCGCATGTTGCACACAGCACTCCCATCCGACATCGATGTACTGTTCACCAAAACAAAGTCCGCGAGGCGCTATTTCTCAGCTCTGTTGTCTAGAATGAGTTTGGTTTTTTGTGCGATAAAGAAGCACAGGAAGACAGATAATAAGAAGTGTTTGATACAGAAAAACTGTTTTTTTCCTTTCTTTATTTCTTTCTTTCTTTCTTTCTTTCTTTCTTTCTTTCTTTCTTTCTTTCTTTCTTTCACTGTTGGTTGGTTGGCTGTTTTACATGATTCAAGTCACACCCGACTTTTGAGGCGCCTCAAAAGACATGCTTCAAGTTACACCCGTTTTCACTCAAACCAACAGCTGCTCTGTTTTAGCAGCAGTGCCTTCGAAAGGCAAGATTACTGTCACTGTATCCAAGTCACTTTTGAGAAATCCCAAAAAATGTTGATTCAGAGAATCCTTAACTATGCCACACAGACAATTTTGAGGCGCCTCAAAAGGAGGTGTATTTTGAGGCGCCTCAAGATTCAGAGAATCCTTAACTATGCCACACAGACCCTCTCATCCCAACCCTCATCCCCTTCCCCGCCCTCCCTCTCCCCCGCCTGTGTGTGTTACCCCCGATTTCGCCCTCTTCAGGATGGCATTGGCTGTGTGCCGTTACAAGGTGACAAGCAGCCTGAAGCAGGCAGCAGCAGCAGCAGCCGTGTGATGGCTCAACAAGCAGGGACAGGTGACACAAGGGTGGAACTGGGTGGTGATGTGCACATGCAGCTGCTGCCGCAAGGAGGCATGCACACAGAGCTCCGAGAGGAGAAGCAGGAGGAGGTGCCGCTAATCCAACACCAAGGGCTGCAGCCGCAGCCGCAGCCGCAGACGCCGCTGCAGCAGCAGCAGCAGCAGCAGCAGTGGTGGTGGGCGTGGTTGTGGAAACCCAGCAACTACTGCCATGAGTGTGATGTGAGTAGCACCTAGCATTGGTGGAGCAGGCGTGATCGAGCTTTGAGACGTCTCAAAACTCTACTGCCACGAGTGTCATGTGAGCGAGTAGCACCTAGCGGTGGTCAAGCAGGCGTGATCTCTCTTTGGTGGCAATGTAAGAACAAAATATGAGCACGTCATTGAAGCACGTCGAATCCCACATCATGATTGTTGCCCCTGCTGGTGAAGCAGGGGAGTTCAAAACACCACCCATCCGTGGTGAATAGAAATGTGCTACCCAGGATCTAGAGAGATTAGGGCCCGTGCCCTAGCGTAGTTGATTGATTGGGGCTTGTAAGAATATATGAACAACTGACAAGAGTATTGGGGGATTTGGGAGGGGGTGGGGGGCGGGGAGTGCATGGAAGGGTTTGGGGGTGGAGGAGATGGTGCATGCATGCGGCAAATGTCTTAGTAAACACGATAAGGCTCTACATGTTAAAGATTTATGCAGGTGTGGAGCTGGGTGTCGTCACGGGGCTGCTGGAAGTGCCATCGGTGAGTGGACCAATATGGACATGGCCATGTACACATCGCCATCTCTGCCCTTGTGTGCACATGGCCATGTTGTGGGCCTCACCTCTCTCTCCCTGCGCTTCTCCTCCCGTCCACACACCCCTCTCTCTGTGTTAACGTGTGGCGGTGGCCGCGGTCTCGGCACTGCTGGAAGTGACATTGCTGTGTGGACCATCACGGACGCACATTCTCACTGCTCTCTCTCCTGCCTTATCCTCCATTCGTCCCCACACCCCTCTCCCCTACGTGCGAGCAGGTGTGGCGGTGGGCGCGGTCACGCCATTGCTGGAAGTGCCATCGCTGTGTGGATCGATACGACCACCACTGCCCCGCTATAGGCACCTGCGTGGGTATGACTCGTTATAAGCACACACAACATACGCTGGGTAGCAACTGTTCTTCTTCTAACCCCTTTAATTCTTTAATTTCTACCATGTACATGGGATGATCGTGTCTGCTGTGTACGTTTGTTTGTGTGACTGTCCATTTGTGAGTATTCGTTTGCCACTGTGCTGCCTTGTGTGAGTATCATTGTGGCTGCTTTGACTCTCGCACAGGATCAAACTCTAAAGTCTTGTGTGTGGAGCGTGTAGCACACCTTAGACTCTTTCTTTGACCTGGTTTTTGAATTTCAATTTGACACTGACTTGACAAGGATTTGACTTGACTTGACAATGACTTTGACTCTGCCTTGTCAGAACATTGGCAGCTGTGATTCCCTCCTTCCCCCCTCCCGCCTTGACTCAATAGCGCTCATGATGACAAGTTGTGATTCACAACATTCTTGACTTGCTGCATTCTTTTGAAACACTTTCCGTTCACACACATTCTTGCGGCACATCCTTTTTCCGACACACACTCTCTTAACTAGCAATTAGGCTACACACACATTCTTCCAACAAGCATTTCTTTCTCTCATACATTCTTCTGGCGCCAATTCAGGTCGTCGCAACCACCGGCTGTTCCTCCTGCTCATCGTTGCCTTCATCGCTGGTGAACTCACCTTTGCAGCCAGCTGCCGTGCCTGTGAGTGCATGAGTGATGTATGCGGTTGAAGCTCTTGTATGGCTGTGACGGTCTTTGGTCTTTGCCTGCTTGTGCTTAGCCCTGGCCAGTGACCAATGTCGGCAGTGTCCCAAGAAATCAAAGATCCGACCCGGATCCAGCAGACTAAACTCCTCCTAAACATCACCACACGCTTTTGAGTCGACTCAAAAGTCAGCAGACTAAACTCCTCCTAAAATTCGCCATTCCCTGTATATTCCTTGTCTACCTAATCCCTAGCCTTGACATTTACGATAGCGAGTAGTGAATGTGTTTGATCTGCTGGACCTTGGTCTGGATCTGAATCGAATCCTCAATCTCCTGCAGGGTGGTTTTGAGAATTCTCAAAAACGAGTTTGATCTGCTGGACCTTGGTCTAAGTCGAATCCTCCATCTCCTGGGACACTGAGGCGGAAGTTGGCACCATGCCGTGGGTCATGGCCGTTCCTCTCCCATATCCGCCTCTCCCATATCCGCCTCCTCCTCCAATCATCATTCGTTCCCACCACACCTTGCCTCTCATCATCTCTTCACCTTGCCTCTCATCATCTCGTCACCTTGCCTCTCATCATCTCTTCAAACCATTTCCCTCCCCTCCCATCCCCTCCCCTTCCCTCCCTCCCTCACATCCCCTTCTTCTCACCCACCGTCCCCACCAGTCCTAGCGTCACATCACCTCCTTCACCTGCCCTCCACCCAACCCCTCATCTTCCCGAATCGTACGTACCCTTTACAACGAGGTGACTTCTGAGTCCACTCAAAAGTGATCTTCCCGAACCGTACGTATCCTTTACCCATGTCGTATCTTCAGGTGCCCCTTACCCACCCTTGTAGTAACGCTTACGCTTCGTCATCAGCATGTGCTAACTGGCACGGTGGTCAGCTCTCATGTGCTCCCGGAGTAGTTAGCTGTACATACCATACCAGCACCCTCCGTTCCTGTTTTAGACACGCCTCTCCAATCTCTTCCTCCTCACCATCTTGCAGCTTTTTTATTTGCGTCCCACTCTTGTAATTTCTGCCTTTTCACCCCTCTCCTCTCTAGCGTTCCACATCTTGTATGCCCCTCTCTCCTCTCGATCGCTTGCGTCTTTTCGTGTGTCCCTCCTCATCCTCCCTCTCCCATGCACTGCTGTGCTTCAGAAGGTGCTCCTAGAGGCGTAGATGTGTCCTTTCACATCATCATTGCTGCTTGCCTGTGCCCCTACCCCTCATCCTCTTGTGCTGTGCCCCTACCCCTCATCCTGCGCTGCTGTGCTTCAGTGGGTCCTATAAGGAGCGTAGAGACATCTGTCCGCATTAATATCCAGGTGCCCTACACTCACACTCGCTGCACTCACACTCGCTGCACTCACACTCGCTGCACTCACACTCGCTGCACTCTCACACTCACTGCACTCACACTCACTGCACTCACACTCACTGCACTCACACTCACTGCACTCACACTCACTGCACTCACCCTCGTTGCACTCACACTCGCTGCACTCACACTAGTTGCGCTCGCACTCCCTGCGCTCACACTCCCTGCGCTCACACTCCCTGCACTCACACTCACTGCATTCACACTCATCGCACTCACACTCACTGCACTCACTCCCATCACTGCATCGTATCCTTAGCAGGCCCTACTGGCCCAACCATGGGTGGTGCTGCTCATGCTCTGTGCCTACCTCCAAACCCTCTGGCAGGTAACGCACCTTCTTCCCTTCCACCTGCTTTCATTTCCCTCCTCCTCCTTTCAGCTTACCCCAGTCTTCCTCCCCCTCAGTTTTTTAGCCGCCTCAAAAGCTTCCTCACGGCGTTGGTTCATGTTTTGTGGTTCTCTCCCCCCTGCCTTGCACGTCTTCCATCTATAGAACAACCCTTACGCCTCCCTCTCTCATTTACTCTCTCCTTTTTCTCCGGTGCTTCTTGTGACTTTTCTCTTCTTGGCCTTGCAGGCTCCCCTGCTCCTCTTCCACCTCTTCTGCATAGGACAAAACGTGACAACCTACGAGTGGGTGAGAACCATGCTGCCTTCTCCACTGATACAGCCATGATACAATGCGAAGCACCATCATCGCTCAGCATCACTCTTCCCCCTGTCTTCCCCTTCGCCTCTATGCATGTTTCACGCATTCCCATCGTCCCTATCGCATGTCTCCCCCCTTCCCCTTCGCCCTTACGCATGTCTCCCCCCTTCCTCTTCCCCTTTCCTTTGTGCATCTCTTCACTCACTGCTCCCAATGCCCCCACCAGGCACGATGGAAGAAGGTTCCATACATGCACTATGAAGGACCGCCCTTCCTGTGTAAGTCCAAGTCTTACCATGGCATGGCATGGCGTGACATGGCATGGCATGATGTAACATAATGTTACCCAACTCGCTGGATAGGCAAGGTAGCAAGTGACAGGAAAATGCGGTTGGAAGGAAAGGATAGCGAGATTGCAGGTCAAGCTTCTTTTATCAAAAGACATGATTAGCTGGCGTATACGCAACCTTCACATCAATCAAAATTTCCAACAATCTCACATTGGTAATTACTGTACACACAATACAACCAAACACGTTTTAAGCGCTTATTTTAATTGGCTGAAAACATATCAAATATCCCAACTAAATTGGATGAAGATGGGGCAACGTCCTCCTCTAACTGGTTGAAATCCAACTCCAAATGTGGGGGACAGAGACAACACATTAAAGGTACTGCAGTAAGCAAGATATATATACTCATCCCAATCTTCACTAGCTGGTTTCTTTCAAACGCTTAAGATACTTACACCCAAAAACAAAATCATTACCTTGTGAGGTTGACAGTGCTCGAAGTGTAACATTTCGAGTCCTTACGGCAATAAACGAATGAACAATGAGTAAAAATAAAGATATTTCTTGACAATAAACACAAGAGAAGGATCTCTATTTCTTCTTTTATTATTAATGAATTGTGGTGTGGTAGTTTTCGAGAATTCAGCCGTTGTATAAGAGGGCTTGTGAGGAGAGCTGTAAGACTGACAAAATCCAAATTTTCCAAATGAAATATTTGAGTTGGGAGGTGAATTAGCAAGCTTGGTACCCCAAACCCCTTCCTGTGAGTCATTTGGGAGTTCTACCCCTTCGCAACCTCGTTCAAAGAGATTCAAATGTGAGTTTGCTTAATGTGGCGCTTTGAGATGAGCTTGATTGTAGTGGAACAAGCTGTAGTTGCTTAAATGCTAGATTTATTGCAATCAGGCTCATTCTTAGGTGGGATTGCGAGGTAGCCACTTAGGAGTTGGTTAGCTTCCTAATCCTTTTAGCTGTGGTTGGTGATTTGAACAGCAAGGCGTGGCATGACATGGCATGGCGTGGTATCACATGATAGAGAGCATGCAGCAGGATGATTCATGGATGTTGCCATGCCCGGTAAGGTTTGCACCTTTCCATTCCACTTCTGTGTGCCATGTTCCATGTTCCATGTGCCTTGATGATCGCATTTTGTGCCGATGTGTCACGATTCCATGGCATGCTGATGTGTCATGATCGGTGGCCCTTGTATGGCTTGCGTGAACGTGCATGTGCGTGTGCTACTCATGTGCCTGCATGTTGCAAACGGGTCTCTGTTGCATCATCCTTCCACCAGCATCAGGAGAGCAAACAAAGCACTTCCACAACCCGTACGACCGTGGCTTCATGAAGAACTGGAGGTGCTTTCTCAAAGAGGACGACAGATATGACGAGCAGCGGCTACAGGAGAAGCAGCTGCAAGCAAGATAACTGACTTGGTGGTCGAAGCACTTCCACAACCCGTACGACCGTGGCTTCGTGAAGAACTGGAGGTGCTTCTTGAGAGAGGACGACTGATACGATGAGCAGTGACTGCAGGAGAAGCAGCAGCAAGCGAGATAACTCGAGAGGTAACTTGCTAGGTGGTAGTACGGAAAGAACGTGATTTCAGAGGCTGCAATTATGCTTGTGGTGTGTTTCGTTTCATATTTCCCAATGGAGTGGAGTCATATTCATGTTTCATTGTTGACTACCCAGAAGGTGAATTTGTAGTGGGAACGATTCCTAAAAAATTGCCTAGGCAAAACAGCCCAGGAACACAGCAGCTTGTCGGCTCGTTAACCATTTCAGATTCTAGCTCATCATCAAATCACGTGGACAAAGCGCATGAGTCACCACCAGGCCCTGTGCTAGGCACAAAAGGCCAAACAGACTCTAGCATCAAGAGCATCAGAGGCTAGTTGTAAGTTGGATCCTGCCTAGCAGCAGTGAGGAACTCAGTCAGGAGTCAGGGTTCCAAGCAAAACTACCTATGCTGATTTTTCTCCCCTCCAGAATCTTGAAAAGGTTGAAAGGGTTCAGGTAGAGCTGGGCAGATCCAACCTGCCCTCAGGAAGCTAGGAAAAAACAATATTTTCTGCCCTTGGGCAGTTGAAAAAGTTCATTGGGAGCTGGGCTGCTCCGTCCTGTCAGGCTGCTCCCTCCTCTCGGGTGCCGTCTCCCCAGCGACCAGAGCAGCGGCGCCCATCTGTGCCTCATCGGTGGCTGTGGGCAGAGAGGAGGAGCCCAGGGGAATGCCGATGGGCGGCGCGTTGGTGTCCACACCCACCATGCCCGCTGCAGCCCTTCCAACCGCTGCTGTGCCGGCAGAAGCGGTGTCAGCGGCGGTGTGAGCAGCAGATGTCACGGCCTGAAGGGGCAGTGGGATGGGAAGGATGTAGTAATGGAGAGGTGTTATAGTTTGGTTGGTGAGGTGGATAGGGATGCCATCACAGCAGCAGGCCAGCACCAGCAGCGTGAGCAGCAAATGTCACGGCCTGCAGCTGCAGTGGGGTGCGATGGGATACCGTGTCAGCAGCAGCGGTGTGAGCAGCAGCAGCTATCATGGCCTGCAGAGGCAGTGGGGTGGGATTGATGAAGGGACGAAGAGGTGTTACAGAGGTAAATACCCAGTGGCAGCAGCAGCAGCGCTTAATAGCAGACGCCAAGGTGCATCGGGCAATCAGGAAACAAATAAGGCATGCAGTGCTGCACTCATTGCAGCGCAGTGCACTGAGTGCACCTCACTCCACCTCAATCAATCCATCCCACATCCAACTCACTCACTCCACCACACTCACCTACTTAGCACCGCTCCAAGTGGAGAAGGCCATGTGCTTGGCTCCTCCCATCGCATCACCCAAGGACAGCACCCCAGGCATGTCAGGCACTAGCGGCACGTCCCATCGCTCCCCCCCTCCCCCTGCCCCTCCTTCCCCACCCACCAGCACTGCTGCCTCCCCTTCGATCGCCAACGGCTTCCCCTCGCCCTCCACCCCCTCGCCCCCGAACCCCACTCCTCGTTTCTCCTCCACCTCTCCCCCCGTGGACTCTCCCCCTGCCTCTCCCCCACCTTCACCACCCACCAGCACTGCTGCCTCCCCCTCGATCCCCAACGGCTTCCCCTCGCCCTCCTCCCCCTCTCCCCCCAACCCCACTCCTCCTTTCCGCCCTTCCTCTCCCTCCGAAGCCTCTCCCCTTCCCCCCATCCTCTTCCGCCCTTCCGCCACACTCTTCCCCACCCCCGCCCGCAGCGCCTCTACCTCTTCCGCCCCGAGAGCCACCTGCCATCCCGCCGTCTCCTCCTCGTCGATCCCGCCCTCCACGCTCGCGTACACCTGCCGCCCCGCCGTCTCCTGCCAGTCCACGTCAGCTTGAACCGGGATTTCCGGGGGCTGCGCGGCGGCTGAGGCAACCGACGTTGCCTCCTGCGGTCGCTGTCGGATAGCTTGCTCGTGCTGCTGCAGCGTCTTGTCGTCTTGCATGGTGGTGAGGAAGTGTGAGGGTGAGTGAGGGAGAGGGTGAGGGTGAGGGTGAGGAGGGTGAGGGTGAGTGAGAGAGGTCGCAGGCGGCCCGTTTAGAGAAGAAAGTATTTTCAAAACTGCAAAATCCCTGGGAACTGACGTAACTGGAGGATACAGCAGGACTTTGCGGTTGCGAGGAAACTGGAGGGGATTGGTACTGGCCCACAGACAGCGGCTTGAAGGCGTCTGGCTGGGAAAAGGCCTCGTCGCTGAATAAGCGGCTCTCTGGAGCCTACGATTTTCAGTGTGTACAAAATCCCATCGTGCTCGTCAATAGCGACGACGCGACGCACGGGTGGTAACTCGGAGGACGAAATCTCGCGTTTCGCCATCGACCCGCAACTGAAGCGGCGTCAGAGCGGTACGGAAGGGAAAAAAAAAAAACTCTTCGAATCGCCGCCGCTTGCGGTCGACAGTACTCGGAGGTCGAGGCGCCATGCAGGGTAAGGGGTGACGAGCTAGTGGGAAACTGCCACATGTCATGCCAATGGGTTATAAATTTCTCGTATTCGTTATAAGCTTATGAAAACTTCTGGAGCTAAAATTATCTTTTACAGTATCCATTAGTGCATATGTCTGCTTTCGCTACTATAGGTACATAGCAGCACCATTATAGCCGTGTTTAATGTAGCGATTTGCAAGTCCTTTCAACAAATAAGGACGCGTTACAATTCCCGGTGCACTACATCGGCTCGGCTCGTAGTACGGGTTCAGGAAGGGTCCATGCAACCGGGAGGCCGAGCCAATGCGGTGCACTGACTTGGCACGGCTTGGCTCGAGCCGAGTCAATGCACTGCGTCGCTATGGATCGAGCCAGTACGACCTGCCATGTGCCATCAGATTGACCCCCCGCTGCCAAACCGCCACTCTGCCCTCGCGAATATTTAGTTGTCGCCAGAATCCCTGGTTACAGCACTCATTTCGACACCTACCCTTTCGCCAACGCACTCCCTCCCTCACTCAACAAGAGTGTTACGATGATTACTTTTACCGTTGTTGCGGTTCTTTTCTTGACTTGACCTGAAAACGCTGCTGGTGCTGGTGGGAACATTTCCCGACTCGTGTCTGGAAATTGCACAGTAACATTCTCAAATTTCATGACGAAGTTTCGAGGTTCCCGAGGCTCGAGTCTGGCACGACCTGGCTCATGCCAATTCGAGCCGAGCCGATGCAGTGCACCGGGAAATGCAACGCGTCCTAAAGAACCATCACACAACAGCTCCCTCGCATGCCTCACGATCTCCCTGTGCAGCAAAGATTTCGCCAACCCAAGCCCAGGAATGAATATCGCGTGCTGAACAACAAACTCGTTTGAACGACTCGATTGAGCTGGATAGAACCTGGAGCCGCGCATCGGGAATGCGTCGCATCGCATCACACGTTCATTGTGCGGTTCGATTTCGCATTTCGTTTCAGCACAATCACTGCACACCTCCTCCCCTTGTCCCCCCATGCAGCGCACGAAACAAAAAGCCAGCAGCAAAAATCTCCCTTGTGCTTCTCCCACAGTTCCCTCTACCAACCAAACCACTTCTGTCGCACCCTTGAGGTGGTCCAGCTCAACACACACCGACCAAATACGCCACCATGCTTACCTATCACCGACCAGCGGCCGACTTACCTTATCAGCGGCACGATCTGGACCCTTGCTCCTCATGGTCTGCGGCTTCTGCCTACCGCTCTTATAAAATGCGCCGCAAACCTACGGTGCTCATCACATCCAGTTATCCTCCAGCCCGAGAACAATTTCGCAACGCTTTTCCTCGAGCTTTCTCTTCCAGCCCAAGGCACATAGTTTTCAGACCAGTTCATCATCACCCGCTGCAGCCATGGGGCGTTCCAAGACCTTAGTCGTTCTGCTCGCGTTCTCACTGCTCGTATCCCTCGCGCTGGCGCCGTGCCGCGCGGATGAGATCGTCGCTGAAGACGACGTCGACGATGACGTGTCGGACGTCGCCGATATCGCAGACGCGTCGCCTTCGGGTGCGTTAAATCACTTCTTCCCAACCAATGCTCTCTGTATCTTCCTTGTCGTCATTCCCCCTTCCGAGTCGCGCCCCCGCCTCGCCATGCCCATCTTTTCGGGTTTCGTGAATATGTAAGCCATTATTCATGCTTTTGCCTTTATTGCCTTTGGCTGTTTCCAGGTGTGGTGAGGGCGCTGTTGGGCGCGAGCAGGCGGTTCCTGTGGTCAAGCGAGATGCACCGCATGCTGTCGTGCAAGTCGGACTGCGAGGAGAAGAACAAGGAGTGCAACGAGGAGTACAGCGAGTGCAAGCGCGAGAACAAGGACGACGAGCACAAACACCACAAGTGCACGCACACGTACAAGAAGTGCAAGAAAAAGGCCAAGAAGTGCCGCTCCAAGTGCGACTAGAGTCGGAGAGGCAGAAAAATGCAACGGGAGGTATTGATAGAAGCCATTACTAAAAGATACACATGGATGGTGCTGACTCTGGAGGGTACGTCAGGGTGGCGTTCCTCTGGTTGACGAAAATATAGACAGCGTAAAGATAGTACATGTAGGACTTTACCGTTTCATGAAAGGGCAATATTTATTGATAAAAGATACTGGGCTGGAGAACTTTAACACTCGTCCACAAGAAGGATCAGTCCATCTTCAGGTGTAATAGTTCCAGTAGCTCTTTACCATGATTCACAGTAACCGAGCCTCTTCAGTTCAGACAATTCTAGCCGGTAGCGCGGTAGCACAAGCAGACCCTGCTGCAGGCAGCGGCATAATCCTAGGAGCAATCTGCAGATTCCTGCCCATAACACTCAAACACTCTCTGGTGAAAACTTATGGTGGTGAAGGTTCTTCTGCTTTAAGAGCCCGTCACTTATCAGTTGTTTCCAAATATGGTGGCTTTCCACCAAACTTGCAGCCTGTGGATGATTCAAGGTGCAAACTGCATGGGAATGGATGGGTTGCGGGCTAGAGTTTCAGGTAATGCCCATTTCTTACACTCAACTCAAGGTTGCATAGTATGGTAGTAGCATTCCAACATGCCCTCCATTTCCATTTAGATTCAAGAAAGCTAAGCAGGCAACCTTGCTTGCATCTGGCTGTGAGAAGATGATTAAGGTTCTGTGAGAAAACAGAGTTGTCGTTCAATGTAGCTAACGGTAATATGGTTGTTAGTACACAGAAAGACTTAACAAGAAGTGCAACTGGTTTCAGAGGTATACATTGTGGCATGCTGACTGCCCCATGCTCGCAATTCTTACCCTGCGTTTTCTTTTGCCCTTTCCAATCCTGTTTTTTTATGACCCGCCACGATACGGTACATCTCAACAGCTTTCGCTTGCTTCAGGACCTGCTCCCTGCCAGCCACCTTCCCTCAGTCTACATTCATGAGTGCTTGTGTCAGTGCACTTTCTCCAACCAATCACGCTACGTTGACGTGGTGCCGGCTGGCAATTGATGCTGCAGAGTCGCCAAAGCCCAGCATCTTGTTCACGGCGCTTATGTAAGCGCGCGCGGATGACACCACAATGTCCTCGTCAGCACCGCTGCCACTGAAGATGTTTAGCAGAGAGAGATTGGGGAGCAACGACACGAGCAAGAGAAAGCCCGAATTAGATAAACTCGAATAAGACACCCTTCAGAAGCAAATGAAGGCCACGGGTGGCATGCCAGTCAAAAGAGCACGGACGTAGGCCCTCTTACCTGTAGGCCTCCTCACCCGAAGGCCCTCTCACCTCCCACCTCAACTTGCCTTCCTCGAACCTGAAGGCCCTCTTGATGCTGCCGTGCTGCGAGTGCGTAGCCGTGTGCGTATCCCCCGTGGAGCGGATGGCCACACCGAACCTCCTGCATCCTCTCCTCAACCTCCTCTCCGCTCTCCTCAACCTCCCCTTCCCTCTCCTCAACCTCCTCTCCCCTCTCCTCAACCTCCTCTCCCCTCTCCTCAACCTCCTCTCCCCTCTCCTCAACCTCCTCTCCCCTCTCCTCAACCTCCTCTCCCCTCTCCTCAACCTCCTCTCCCCTCTCCTCAACCTCCTCTCCCCTCTCCTCAACCTCCTCTCCCCTCTCCTCAACCGCCCCTTCCCTCTCCTCAACCTCCCCTTCCCTCTCCTCAACCTCCTCTCCCCTCTCCTCAACCTCCTGTCCCCTCTCCTCAACCTCCTCTCCCCTCACCTCGACCTCCTCTCCCCTCACCTCAACTACCCCTAACCGCACCTGAAGGTCCTCTCGATGCTGCCGTGCTGCGAGTGCGTGGCCATGTGCGCATCCCCCGTGGAGCGGATGGCAACGCGCGTGCAGGCCAGGGCGTCAATGCCCTCTGTGACTGAGTTGAGCGAGTACTCTGTGAGCTCCACGTTCAGCTGGCAAGGGGGGGGCACAGGAGGGGTTCAATGGTACATGGGGCAATCGCAACGTGAGTGCAGTGAGCAGGCCAGGGCGTCCATGCCCTCTGTGACTGAGCTGAGCGAGTACTCTGTCAGCTCCACGTTCAGCTGGCGTGGGTCAGGTCAGGGGTAGCGGATGGGGGGCAGAGGCAGAGCATGGGGAGCAAGGAGGGAAGCAATTGCAAAGCGAGTGCAGGCGAGAGCGTCGATGCCTTGGATGGACAACCAATGAGCGTCGATGCCTTGGATGGACACCCAATGAGCGTCGATGCCTTGGATGGACAACCAATGAGCGTCGATGCCTTGGATGGACAACCAATGAGCGTCGATGCCTTGGATGGACAACCAATGAGCGTCGATGCCTTGGATGGACAACCAATGAGCGTCGATGCCTTGGATGGACAACCAATGAGCGTCGATGCCTTGGATGGACAACCAATGAGCGTCGATGCCTTGGATGGACAACCAATGAGCGTCGATGCCTTGGATGGACAACCAATGAGCGTCGATGCCTTGGATGGACAACCAATGAGCGTCGATGCCTTGGATGGACAACCAATGAGCGTCGATGCCTTGGATGGACAACCAATGAGCGTCGATGCCTTGGATGGACAACCAATGAGCGTCGATGCCTTGGATGGACAACCAATGAGCGTCGATGCCTTGGATGGACAACCAATGAGCGTCGATGCCTTGGATGGACAACCAATGAGCGTCGATGCCTTAGATGGACAACCAATGAGCGTCGATGCCTTGGATGGACAACCAATGAGAGGGAGGGAGGTACTCTGTGAGCTCCACACTCGCCCCCATGAGGGAGGTACTCTGTGAGCTCCACACTCGCCCCCATGAGGGAGTACTCTGTGAGCTCCACGTTGCTGTTGATTGATGTTGTTGATGGCCTTGTACACGGCGCCCACTGCCCCCCTGCCCATGGCCGCCTGGATCTGAAATCAATCGCATGCACCCACTTGCACCCACTTGCACCCAGTTTCACCAAGTTTCACCCAGCCACACGCACCCCTCAGTCAACTCACATCAACAATGTTGTTGATGGCCTTGTAAACGGCGTCCACCGGCCCCGTGCCCATGGCTGCCTGGATCTGAAGTCAATTGCACCCGCTTGCACCCACTCACAAACTTCATATGGCTCCCATTGCCAAGCCATAGAACTCACATGAACGATATTGTTGATGGCCTTGTAGACAGCATCTACAGGCCCCGTTCCCATGGCCGCCTGGATCTGAAGTCAATTGCATGCACCCACTTGCACCCACCCACACCCAGTTGCACCCAGCACATGCATGCCTCATTCAACTCACATCAACGATATTGTTGATGGCCTTGTAAACGGCATCCACAGGCCCCGTGCCCATGGCCGCCTGGATCTGCTCCACCCCGTCAGGCCCCACCAGCTTCACTGTCGCTGTGGGCAGCCCCATGGTTCCACACACCACCTGCGGTTTAAACGTGGGAGGACGACAATGCAAGGCCGCATATGGGTGGGACATCGCAAAAAAAAGCAATCTGCTCCCCTCCATCCGGCCCCACCAGTTTCACTGTCGCTGTGGGCAGCCCCATGGTCCCACACACCACCTGGGATGGACGGTTGGGAGGACAAGGGTGAGAGCATGGGGGTGTCAGGATGCAAAAGAGCAGGGGAGGGGCATGCACGTGGGAGACCGCAAATGATGCAATTTTCTCCACCCCGCCAGGCCCCACCAGCGTCACTGTGGCCGTGAGTAGGCCCCACCAGCGTCACTGTGGCCGTGCTGTGAGCAGGCCCAGGGTTCCACACACTGCCTACGGCTCGCGAAGGTACAAGTGCAACACAGTTGGATGCACACACCAGTGAGTTGGTGTTGTGTTGTGAGGGCCCAGAGCCAGTTTCAAAGTCATGAGGGTGCAGCACAGCAGGTTAAGGTTAAGAAACACGCTCCACTCCTCACTGCCCTGAGAAACACGCTCCACTCCTCACTGCCCTGAGAAACACGCTCCACTCCTCACTGCCCTGAGAAACACGCTCCACTCCTCACTGCCCTGAGAAACACGCTCCACTCCTCACTGCCCTGAGAAACACGCTCCACTCCTCACTGCCCTGAGAAACACGCTCCACTCCTCACTGCCCTGAGAAACACGCTCCACTCCTCACTGCCCTGAGAAACACGCTCCACTCCTCACTGCCCTGAGAAACACGCTCCACTCCTCACTGCCCTGAGAAACACGCTCCACTCCTCACTGCCCTGAGAAACACGCTCCACTCCTCACTGCCCTGAGAAACACGCTCCACTCCTCACTGCCCTGAGAAACACGCTCCACTCCTCACTGCCCTGAGAAACACGCTCCACTCCTCACTGCCCTGAGAAACACGCTCCACTCCTCACTGCCCTGAGAAACACGCTCCACTCCTCACTGCCCTGAGAAACACGCTCCACTCCTCACTGCCCTGAGAAACACGCTCCACTCCTCACTGCCCTGAGAAACACGCTCCACTCCTCACTGCCCTGAGAAACACGCTCCACTCCTCACTGCCCTGAGAAACACGCTCCACTCCTCACTGCCCTGAGAAACGAAACGAAACCACAAGTGCTGCCATGCAACGCAGCAATGTTTGGAGCCATAATCTGGAATCACACAGCTTGGATAATTGCGTGTCACTTGCACGCCCCAATGAGAGCTCACCTGCAGGTTAGCGAACTGCCTCTATTGCCAAGACCATTGAGTACTAGTGCCACTATTCCTAACAATTGATTTCGCTTTTAGCCACACACTCGCAGGCTCAGAAACGGAAATCCAGCCCTGAAATCACACCTGCAGGTCAGCGAGCTCCCAGATGGTCTTGGGCTGGAACACCGAGTCAGACACAAGCGCCTCCACGTCCCCATCCGTGACAATCTTCTTCTTGTCCGCCACCGCTTTGAACCGCTTGAACACCTCATCCAACTCCGCGCTGTCAAAGTCGTACCCCATCTGAGTTGGGGGTTGGGGGGGGGAAAGTGTGGGAGCAGGGCAGGGAAAGAGGCCAAGAGACATGTGAGATGTGGGGAAAAGGTGTCTGCACCACTTTGAACCGCTTGAGCACCTCACAGCTCCGCGCTATCTAAGTCATAGGCCATCTGAGTTGGGGGAGGGGGGTTGGGAGTGAAAGACGATAGAGCGGGCATGAGCGGGATTGGGTACCAGCCACCGCTTTGAACCGCTTAAACACCTCGTCCAACTCCCTGCTATCGGAGTCATAGCCCACCTGAGAGGGGAAGAGGAGGGTGAGTGGGGACAGTGTGAATGAAGGCAAGGGAGACGGAAGAATCAGGCGCCTGGCAGGCACCGCTTTGAACCGCTTCCAACACCTCGTGCAAGTCCCTGCTCTCAAAGTTGTAGCCCATTTGAGAAAGGGGGAAGGAGGGCAGCGAAAGCACTTTGGGCATGGGGCGAGAGGGCGTCCCTGGCAGGCACCGACTTGAACCACTTCCAACACCTCGTCCAGCTCTACACACACTCTCAAAGTTGTACTTCATCTGAGGAGGGAAGGCGAGGAGGGTTGTGAAAAGCTTAACATCTGGGCGATGGAAAGGAAAATTATAGCCCATCGGAGCAAGGATGCACACACAGGGGGCACCACCTATCCCACCCGCCTGCTGCAGGCGGTCTTCGAACACGTGCCGGCCACTGTGCTTGCCCAGGAAGGCTACCTTTGAGTCGACTCAAGAACCACCCACCCTCCCATCCTTTTTCCTTTCCTCATTCCCCCTCACCGTACCTGCTGCAGGCGTGTCTTGAGCACACGCCAGCCGTTGTGCTTGGCCAGCAAGGCACCTTTGAAAAGAACCCACTCACCCTTCCTTCCCTCATCCCACTCATCCCACGAATCCCGCTCATCCCACTGGTAGCATCCCACCCACCTGCTGCAGGCGCATCTTGAGCGCGTGGCGGCCGCTGTGCTTGCCCAGCACAATGCCTGCGTTTTAGTCGACTGATGAGCAACCCGCCCTCCCATTCTTCCTTCTTCCCTCTCCTCATCCAACCCATCCCCTCATCCTCCGCATCGCACCTGCTGCAGGCGGTTCTTGAGAGCGTGGCGGCCGCTGTGCTTTCCCAACCCAGTAAGGTGACCTCTGACTCTGAGTCATCTCAACAACAACCCTGCTTCCCTTCCTCCCCACACCGCACTCATCCCCCACATCGCGCTCATCCCAACCCACTCATCCCACCTGCTGCAGGCGCGTCTTGAGGGCGTGGCGGCCGCTGTGCTTGCCCAGCACAATGCCCTTGGGATTACTAAAAAGTAACCACCCTTCCCTTCCTCCCTCATCCTACTCATCATCCCCGGCATTGCACCTGCTGCAGGCGCGTCTTGAGGGCGTGGCGGCCGCTGTGCTTGCCCAGCACAATGCCTGCGGCGTCGCTGCGCACGATGCCCACGTCCTCTGGCGCCATGATCTCGTACGTGCCCTTGTACTTGAGCATGCCGTCCTGTAAGGAATGGGGGCAAAAGAGGGGGAAGAAGAAGGGGGGGGGGTTGAATGGGTGAAACACACATGCAGAGATCTCAAGCGAGTTGGGGAGCTGAGCTAAAGAAAGAAGGGCAATTCAACAAAATCACCTGCTACAGCTGCCATTCCCCTAGTTTGACTGTTAGTCCACCGCCCATCCACCTACACACCCACCCCCGTGAAATGACTCACGACGTGGCGAACCTATGTTTGAGTCAATTAAAAAAATAGGCCCAACAAAGTCACCTGTCACAGCTGCCATTCCCCTCGTTTTGACTGTCAGTACATGGCCCATCCATCCACACACCCACCCCCGAGAAATGCCTCACTGCTTCATGTGACGAATGCTGCACTCCCTCACCTGGTGAATGCCGCTCTCATGCGCGAAGGCGTTGGCGCCCACGATGGCCTTGTGTGGCTGCACCAGCATGCCCGTGTACTCCGTCACCTGGCCAAGGGGGCGGGAGGGGGGACAGAAAGCGGTACAAGGTGAAGCGAAGGGGCAGGAAAGGGTATGGGCTTATGGAAAGGCATTGGCGCCCACGATGGCCTTGTGCAGCTGCACCAGCATGCCTGTGTACTCCGTCACCTGGTGGGGGGGCAGGTGGGGGCAAGAAAGCGGTATGGGGTCAAGGAAGTGGAAAGGAGTCAGCTTTTAGAGAGTCAATATCACCCACAATGGCCTTGTGCGGCTGCACCAGCATGCCCATGTACTCCGTCACCTGGCAGGGGATTGAGGGGGTGTGGGGAGGAGAGGAGAGCGGTACGGTTGAAGGGAGAGGGAAAAACCTCAGGAGCGGGAAGAGGAGGATGAGGGGGATGAGAGGGAAGAGGAGGATGAGGGGGAGGAGGGGGAAGAGAAGGATGAGGGGGAGGAGGGGGAAGAGGAGGATGAGGGGGAGGAGGGGGAAGAGGAGGATGAGGGAAAGGAAACGTGCTTGGGGTTGATGCCCATGCCATGTGCCTGCAAAGAGCAGTGAGAAATCTGCTCCAAATCACACTGTGCGTCACATACAAGCACCATACACACCGCCCAAGCAGCGCACACACCATGCGGCTGGAGAGCGCGATGTGCTTGGGGTTGATGCCCGTTTCGTGTACTACCCTCCAAACAGCACCGTGCATCACATAACAAAAACCATACACACGGAGCAAGAAGCGCACATACACACATAGTGCAACCACACCAAACGTACCATGCGGCTGGAAAGTGCGATGTGCTTGGGGTTGATGCCCGTGTACAGCCCTCCGAACTGCTCCTGCCCGCGACACCGGATTGCCATCACCACCTGCTCAGACCAGATGGGTGGAGCAGGCGGGTGGAACAGGCGGGTGGAGCAGGCGGGTGGAACAGGCGGGTGGAACAGGCGGGTGGAACAGGCGGGTGGAACAGGCGGGTGGAACAGGCGGGTGGAACAGGCGGGTGGAACAGGCGGGTGGAACAGGCGGGTGGAACAGGCGGGTGGAACAGGCGGGTGGAACAGGCGGGTGGAACAGGCGGGTGGAACAGGCGGGTGGAACAGGCGGGTGGAAGGCAGGTGGAACAGGCGGGTGGAACAGGCGGGTGGAACAGGCGGGTGGAACAGGCGGGTGGAACAGGCGGGTGGAACAGGCGGGTGGAACAGGCGGGTGGAACAGGCGGGTGGAACAGGCGGGTGGAAGGCAGGTGGAACAGGCGGGTGGAACAGGCGGGTGGAACAGGCGGGTGGAACAGGCGGGTGGAACAGGCGGGTGGAACAGGCGGGTGGAACAGGTGGGAAGGCCAGGTGGGTATGGGAGAAAGGACAAGTGGGTGGGGAGACGAACGAAAGAAGACGTGCGGGAAGAATGTGTTGCTGCTGCTGCAGATACCCCATTCACTTGCTACACATGCTTATGTGTTTCACCTGGAGGGGCTTCTCCGCAGCTCAAGCTATCCAGGAAACGAACTCAGGACAATGGCATTCCGATTCGTCTCATCAGCCCAGCACAACACCCACATCAGCAACAGCCAGCCACAGCAGCCGCCACATTAGCAACAACCGGCCGCAGCTACCACACAATACCCATCAGCCACAGCAGCCAATGACCCTTCCTTCACTCCCCCCTCTACTCCATCCTCACATCCACACTGAACCTCACAGGGTTCCTCCTCTCCCATCCACCTCACGACACCCACACGACGCCCCCACGCACCTCTTCCAGCGACGCGTTGCCCGCCCGCTCGCCAATCCCATTGATGGTGACCTCCAGCTGCCGCGCTCCTGCCTTGGCACCCTGCTCAGTGCGGAGAGGTGGAGCGAGAGGAGCGGTGGAGGGGAGGGGAGGGGAGGGGAGTGGAGGACGGAAGGGGAGAATGGGAGAGGTGAGAAGGTGAGGAGAAAGGAAAAAAAAAAGGACTCATCACAACGAACAGCTTCGTCTGCTTTTCTTTCTTTGCTCCCTTACTACGTTCTCCGTGCCTTCTGTGCAGGCGCCTCTAACATCGCCAAAGCTACACTCATTCAACTCTGTCTCTCCCTCTCTCCCTCCCTCCCTCCCTCCCTCCCTCCCTCCCTCCCTCCCTCCCTCCCTCCCTCCCTCCCTCCCTCCCTCCCTCCCTCCCTCCCTCCCTCCCTCCCTCCCTCCCTCCCTCCCTCCCTCCCTCCCTCCCTCCCTCCCTCCCTCCCTCCCTCCCTCCCTCCCTCCCTCCCTCCCTCCCTCCCTCCCTCCCTCCCTCCCTCCTTTCCTTCCTCCCTCCCACCCTCACTCACTCACCCGATCACTCCGTGCACGCACCGCGAGCGTGTTAGCCGTTGCCAGACCCAGGTCGTTCTGGCAGTGAGTGGAGATGATAACATTCTCTGCGCCCTCCGTGTTCTGCCGGATCTTGGCGATCAGCTCGCCAACCTCGGATGGCATGGTCGGGGCGAGTGTACCCCACCGTGTCCGGGATGTTCAGACCCACTCACTCACACTTCCTCCCTCCCTCGCTCGCTCCCTCCCCCAATCCCTCACTCGCTCCCTCCCCCAATCCCTCGCTCGCTCCCTCCCCCAATCCCACGCTCGCTCCCTCCCCCAATCCCTCGCTCGCTCCCTCCCCCAATCCCTCACTCGCTTCCTCCCTTCCCCGGCTCCCTCATTCATACCCTCACTCACCGCGAGAGTGTTAGCCGTTGCCAGCCCCAGATCATTCTGGCAGTGGGTCGAAATGATCACGTTCTCAGCGCCCTCGGTGTTCTGGCGGATCTTAGCGATGAGCTCGCCGAACTCCGAGGGCATGGTGTACCCCACCGTGTCCGGGATATTGAGAGTGGTCGCGCCCGCCTTGATCACCTCGCCCAGAATGCGGTACAGGAACTCGGGGTCGGACCTGGGAGGAGGGGAATGGGAGGGGGGGGATGGGAGGGGGAGGGCGCAGAGAGAGAGGACAGAGACAGGGGCGCAGCGGAAGGGCGCAGAGTCAGGTCAGGTCAGGCGGCCTCGTCAATGAGCTCGGCAAACTCGGATGGCATGGTGCACTCTGAGGCGTCCGGGATGTTGAGCGTCGTCGCGCCCGCCTTGATCACCTCGCCCAGAATACGGTACAGGAACTCGGGGTCGGACCTGCGAGGGAGGGGGTAGGGAAGGCGGGAAAGTGGTTGGCGTGAGTGCGGAACACGCCAGCGGGCGGGAGAGGACAGGGCTTGGCCATGAGGGCAACTTGATGTTCGCCACCATGCTCGTCACCTTCGCTGCTGAGAGTTCTCAGAGGTGACAAAAACATAGCTCCCCGCCTTCTCTATCGTAACCCCGCATCCGTTTATTGCCAGCGCACGGGTCATCAGTAACACCGCATTCCCAGCTCGACCCATCACACCTGCCGCATCCTCCGGGCTGAACTCGATGTCGTTACACCCCAGGCTCTTAGCGTACGCCACCATGCTGCGCGCCAATGCCAGCACGCGGCAGGCTGACATAGCATTGCATCAACCCTATCACCGACACACATCACCAGCAACCACGACACCCTAGCCCACCTGCCAGCGTCTTCCGGGCTGAACTCGATGTCGTTACACCCCAGGCTCTTCGCATACGCCACCATGCTGCGCGCGATCTCGACCACCTCGTCGGGCGACTTCCGCAGCTTGTACTCCATGTGGATCGCGCTCGTCGCGATGAACGTGTGGATGCGCGGCCGCGCCGCGTGCCGCACTGCCTCCCACGACGCGTCGATGTCCGCCTTGTTGCAGCGCGCCAGCCCGCAAATCACGGGCACGTACCCCGTCACCGGGTCGATGTTATTCCCCACCTCCTTGGCGATCGTCCGCACCGCCTCGAGATCATCGGGCGACGCGATGGGGAAGCCAGCCTCGATAATGTCGACGCCGAGCCGCGCCAGCTGGCGCGCGATGTCGAGCTTCTCCTTGCTGGTGAGCGTCGCGCCGGGTGACTGCTCGCCGTCGCGCAGCGTGGTGTCGAAGATGCGGACGTAGTTAGGGTCGTCGATGCGGTTCGGGATGTACTCGGGACGGGACGGCCGCGCCGCGGGCTCGTTTCCATTCACGCTGCTGCGAACGCAGGGGAAGGTTCGTGGGAGCTTCGACGGTTGCGCGTGAGACGCGGCGGAAGTGGGGGCGAAGGTGAGCTGATGGCCGAAGAAGGCTCTGGGAAGTTCACATTGGCGGGAGGCGGAGGAGGTGATGGTGGCGTCGAAACGAGGTACCATGGAAGGGACCACTGCTCGAGTCAGCATCACTCCTGCATGCGCCATGACTGCTAGGTTTGCACCGAGCGAACGGACAGGCGGCGAAACGACGAATTAGATCGAGCGTAAAGACCAAGGGTGACGGTTCCTATTGATATAGAAGCTGCCAATGCGTAAGCTGGTTAGAGCGAGGACTTGAAGAAATCACCAGCACCAAAAGCGAAGAATGCGTGACAAGGAACGTAATTTGTGAACGTGAAGTTGTGAGGGCCGAGAGGAGGGAACGGGTGAGTGTTTATGCATCGGCTAGGCTGTGCGTGGAGCCCTGTCCAGGTTGGGCGCAGAATCTAGGAAGCAGTTGTACAGGGGGAGGGATTCCAGCGAGGCAGCCCGTAGCGACCTCGAGGAAGATGGGCTTGCATGGCGCGCGCAGATTGGTTGAACAGGTGAATGTCAGACGCACAAGATTTTGTCCTGGACGCGGAAGGGGGAATTGCGTGAATTGGATCCAAAAGGAGGGTTTGTGTCAGCCGTTGATGATCCGTGAAATCCCAGGGTTTTGGAGAACCGGGAAGACAAAGTGTAGAGAATTTTATTCCAAACCATACGTCAAATTTGCTACCTTCTCTGCTACCGAGTTCTCCAGTATCGAAGTTAGGGTTCCACTGCTTGCCTTGCTTCTCGTCCAACTTCAAGGCCCTCTTCCGTTCTGCTAGTATCTTCCATACCCTGTCATGCACTCCCACTCGACATACCCTTCTCTCTGCTAACCTTCACGTACCTCCCTCGTACTTGGTATACATAGGTTAGCACTACATAGGCTCAATTGAATGCTTTCTGTGCCTCGCCTAATGTGGAAAATCTAGCGAATTCCGTACCTTTTCGGCTCCTCGCCGCCATAAGTCAGACAATTGCGTCTAGCGTAACTGTAAAGATTGGGGGCTAGCTGACCGCTCGGCATGGATCCGTTGAAGAAGCTAGAGTACCTCTCACTCGTATCCAAGGTGTGCTCGGAATTGGAGACGCACGTCGGCATCGCGGACAAAACGCTCGCGGAATTCATTATCGAGCTCGGGCAGCAGAATTTCACGGTCTCCGCTTTTGACGCTGCCCTGAAAGAAAACGGAGCCGAGCTGCCCGAGTATTTTGTCGGCACGCTTTTGACGATCATCCACGCCGTCCTTCCGCCGAAATCCAAATCCAAGGGCTCAGGAAGGAAAGCGGGCGACGGCTCGGGCAGCTCGAAATTTCCCGGCCTAGCGGTTCCGGATGACAGGGAACGGGCGAAAGCTCTGGAGAAGGAGCTGCTTGGCGAAGCTTCGCGAGACGGGCGAAGAGACGGCGACGGTTACCACGATGACAGGGATCGCGACAGGGACCGAGACAGGGACAGGGACGACGGGAGGCGGCGGCGGTGGGATGATGATGGGAGCGACAGGCATCGGGACCGAGACAGAGACAGAGACAGGGGTAGAGAGAGGGACAGGGACGGCGATAGAGACAGGGACAGGGACAGAGATAGAGGGAGAGATAGGGATGAGAGGCGAAGGGGCGACGAGGAGAGGGACCGACTACCGCCTCGGCCGGCTCTGCCGCCTCCCCCGCCGCCCAGAAGCAGCGAGTTGGAGGTGTACGGCATTTACAAGGGCAAGGTTTCCCGCATCATGGAATTCGGGTGTTTTGTGCAAATAGACCTCCCGGGCAGCCACGAAAAAAAGGAGGGACTGGTGCACGTGTCGCAGATCGCGTCGCGGCGGATTAACAGCGCAAAGGACGCGGTGGAGAGGGATCAAGAGGTGTGGGTGAAGGTGATCAGCATGTCCGGGCAGAAACTCTCTCTCAGCATCCGTGACGTGGATCAGAAAACGGGCAAGGACCTCCTGCCCATGAAAAAAAAACCTTCCGCGGAAGGGGACGGGGAGGGCGACGATCGCAGCAACCCGGCCGGGCCGGGCACGCGCGGATTATCCGGGATCCGCATCGTGGAAGAGGATAACGCCACGGGGCGGCGTCCTGGCCGTCGGATGTCGTCTCCAGAGCGATGGGAGGCGCAGCAGTTAGTCGCCTCGGGGGTTCTAGACGTGACGGATTACCCACAGTACGACGACGAAGGCGGGGGGCTGCTTTATCAGGACGAGGGCGAGGAGCAGGAAGTAGAGATCGAGTTGAACGAAGACGAGCCGGCGTTTCTCCGCGGGCAGACGCGCGCGAGTATCGACGTGTCGCCTGTTAAGATCGTTAAGAATCCTGACGGGTCGCTGCAGCGCGCCGCCATGACGCAGTCCGCGCTCGCCAAGGAGCGCCGCGAGCTGCGCGAGCAGCAGCAGCGCAGCATGCTGGACAGCATCCCGAAAGATCTGAACCGTCCGTGGGAAGATCCGATGCCGGAATCCGGCGAGAGGCACCTCGCGCAGGAGCTGAGGGGCGTGGGGCTCGCCGCGTATGACATGCCCGAGTGGAAGAAAGACGCGTTTGGCAAGGCGCCCACGTTCGGGCAGCGGTCGAAGCTTTCGATGCAGGAGCAGCGGCAGAGCCTGCCAATCTACAAGCTGAAAAACGAGCTGATCCAGGCTGTGAACGAAAACCAGGTGCTGGTGGTGATCGGCGAGACAGGGTCCGGGAAAACCACGCAGATGACGCAGTATTTGGCCGAGGCGGGGTATACGAGCAAGGGGAGAATTGGGTGCACGCAGCCGCGGCGTGTGGCGGCTATGTCCGTTGCCAAGCGTGTGGCTGAGGAGTTTGGGTGCCGGTTGGGGGAAGAGGTGGGGTATGCGATCCGGTTTGAGGATTGCACGAGTCCCGAGACGGTGATTAAGTACATGACGGATGGCATGCTTCTGAGGGAGATTCTGGTGGATGAGGATTTAAGTTCTTATTCGGTGATTATGCTGGATGAGGCGCACGAGAGGACTATTCATACCGATGTGCTGTTCGGGCTGTTGAAAGATTTGCTGGTGAAGAGGAAGGACATGCGGCTGATTGTTACGTCGGCGACCCTGGATGCGGAGAAGTTTTCGAATTACTTTTTCCAGTGCCCGATTTTTACGATTCCGGGCAGGACTTTTCCGGTGGAGGTGTTGTATACGAAGGCGCCTGAGACGGATTATTTGGATGCTGCCCTGATTACGGTGATGCAGATTCACCTGACCGAACCTGAGGGCGACATTCTTTTGTTTCTGACCGGGCAGGAGGAGATTGACACGTCATGCCAGATTCTGTACGAGCGAATCAAAGGGCTCGGGCCGTCGGTCCCGGAACTTATCATCCTGCCCGTGTACAGCTCCCTGCCCAGCGAAATGCAGACGAGAATCTTCGACCCTGCCCCACCGGGCACCCGAAAAGTCGTCGTGGCCACTAACATCGCAGAAGCATCCCTGACCATTGATGGGATCTACTACGTGGTTGATCCGGGCTTTGCCAAGCAAAAAGTCTACAACCCGAAGCTGGGTCTCGATTCCCTCGTCATCACACCCATCTCCCAAGCCTCGGCGCGGCAGAGGGCCGGCCGAGCCGGACGCACAGGTCCGGGGAAGTGCTACCGGCTGTACACGGAAAGCGCGTACCGCAACGAAATGCTGCCCACCACAGTGCCCGAAATCCAGCGCACCAACCTGGGCATGACAACCCTAACTCTTAAAGCCATGGGCATCAATGACCTGCTGGCGTTTGACTTCATGGATCCGCCACCACCCCAGGCTTTAATCTCCGCCATGGAGCAGCTGTACAATCTCGGAGCGCTGGATGAGGAGGGGCTGCTGACGAAACTCGGGCGGAAAATGGCCGAGTTTCCGCTCGAGCCGCCGCTGTCAAAGACACTGATCGCGAGCGTGGATCTGGGTTGCTCCGAGGAGATTCTGACGATCATCGCGATGCTGCAGGCGCAGAATATCTTTTACCGGCCGCGCGAGAAGCAGGCGCAGGCGGATCAGAAGAAGGCCAAGTTTTTCCAGCCCGAGGGGGACCACCTGACGCTGCTGGCTGTGTACGAGGCGTGGAAGGCCAAGAACTTTTCAGGGCCGTGGTGCTATGAGAACTTTGTGCAGAGCCGGTCGCTGCGGCGCGCGCAGGACGTGAGGAAGCAACTCCTCACGATCATGGACCGGTGAGTTGAGGGGGGAAGAAACGGGGTGGGTGGGTAGTGGGGATCAGGTGGGCGGGTTGTGAGTCGAGTCACAGGCATCAGAAGAAGGCCAAGTTCTTTCAGCCCGAGGGGGACCACCTGACGCTGCTGGCGGTGTACGAGGCGTGGAAGGCCAAGAACTTCTCCGGGCCGTGGTGCTACGAGAACTTTGTGCAGAGCCGGTCGTTGAGGCGCACACAGGATGTAAGGAAACAGCTTCTCACCATCATGGACCGGTGGGTTTGAATGGGGGAAAGGGGGGGATGGGGGTTGGGATAGAAGGGGTGGTGATTGTGACCTAGATTGTGGGGGGTCAACCTCCTCGTCCCGCCCCCCGCCCCCCCTCTCGCCCCTCCTCTCCTCCCTTCCCCTCTCCTCCCCGTTCCGCACACGCATGCAGGTACAAGCTGGACGTTGTCTCGGCCGGTCCCAAATTGATTGAAATCCAGAAAGCCATGTGTTCAGGCTTCTTCTTCCATGCAGCACCCCAGGTCCCACAAGAGGGCTACCGGAGCATCGTGGAGAACCAGCCCGTCTAAATCCACCCCTCCTCCGCTCTCTCACCAGAGACTCCCTTCTTTGTGTCTCCTTTTGTCCGTTTCCTCATTCCCTCGCCCCTGCATGCCCCTCATCTCTCCATCCCCCACCCAGGTACAAGCTGGACGTCGTGTGAAAGAAGGAGTGTTTTGAGACGTGCGTCTCAAAACACTCCATCCCCCACCCAGGTACAAGCTGGACGTCGTCTCTGCTGGCAGAAACTTCATCAAGATCCGCAAGGCGCTCTGCTCAGGCTTCTTCTTCCATGCGGCCCGCAAGGATCCCCAAGAGGGGTACCGCAGCATCGTGGAGAACCAGCCCGTCTACATCCACCCCTCCTCCGCACTCTTCCACATGCTCCTCCTCTCCTCTCATGCACCTCTTTCTCCCCGTTTCCCCTTCGCCTCTCCTCTCCTCTCTTCTCCTCCCCTCTCCTCGTTCCTGCTTGTCTTCCCTCCCGCACACACATCCAGGTACAAGCTGGACGTGGTATCAGCAGGCAGAAACTTCATCAAGATCCGCAAAGCCCTCTGCTCAGGCTTCTTCTTCCATGCGGCCCGCAAGGATCCTCAAGAGGGCTACCGCAGCATCGTGGAGAACCAGCCCGTCTACATCCACCCCTCCTCAGCGCTCTTCCAGCGCCAACCCGACTGGGTTTTATACCACGAGCTGGTGATGACGACTAAAGAGTACATGAGGGAGTGCACGCTGATTGATCCAAGATGGCTGGTGGAGCTGGCGCCGCGGTTCTTCCGACAGGCGGATCCCACGAAGCTGAGCAAGAGGAAGCGGCAGGAGCGCATCGAGCCGCTGTATGATCGTTATCACGAGCCGAACGCATGGCGGCTGAGCAAGAGAAGGGCGTAAAGCGGAAGGGGGGGGTGAGGGTGGGGCAGATGAGGGTGAGGAGGTGTTGAGTTGCTTTGTGAATCCTCTCAGGAGCGGATCGAGCTGCTGTATGACCGGTACCATGAGCCCAACGCATGGCGGCTGAGCAAGAGGCGGTCGTAAAGGGGGGGAAGGTTGGGAGGGTGGGGGGTGAGGAGAGGAGGTCCGTGATGAGCTGTATAAGCAATTCATTAAGCCGCTGTATGACCCATACCATGAGCCGAACGCGTTGCTGCTGAGAAAGAGGAGGGCGTAGGCATGGGAGAAGGGGCAGGGGGGCAGGGGGTGCAGGGGGTGCAGGGGGTGCAGGGGGTGCAGGGGGATTGGGTGGAGGTGAGGAGGAGGCGTTGGGTGCCTGATGGGCTGTGTCAGCACTGCATGGAGCCACTGCAGTGCATGGAGCCACTGCAGTGCATGGAGCCACTGCAGTGCATGGAGCCACTGCAGTGCATGGAGCCACTGCAGTGCATGGAGCCACTGCAGTGCATGGAGCCACTGCAGTGCATGGAGCCACTGCAGTGCATGGAGCCACTGCAGTGCATGGAGCCACTGCAGTGCATGGAGCCACTGCAGTGCATGGAGCCACTGCAGTGCATGGAGCCACTGCAGTGCATGGAGCCACTGCAGTGCATGGAGCCACTGTGTGATTGGTATCATGAGACTAATGTGTGTGTGTGGCAGCTGAGCAAGAAGAGGGTGTAGTCATGGAAGAGGAGGGTTGGGGGTGCGTTGTTGTGGTGCCTTTTTTACCCCCAGCTGGGGATGTACAGATGGCATGAGGTGTGCAAGTGGCTTTTGTGGAGGAACGGTGTAACTGAGTGGGCTTGCTTTCCGGAGGACTTCTGTTTTTTGTCACCAAGGAGAGGTGCTTGGTTAGTGGAGAGGTACTCTTTCTTTGAAACTAACTGTTGCTGAGAAAGGTTGCGCATCGTAATCACTGCTGTATGTCATCATTTCTAGCCTTGATGTCAGCCTTATTGCCTGCTGATTGGTACCATATCATACTACTAACTTTCTTGGTTCATTCATGGGCCTCAGTTATCAGGATAATTTATCCTGATTCTCCTGAATTCAGGATAGCTGTCGTGTGCTAGTCCTGGAAAAACAGCATAACAGGAATAATTGTCCTGTAATTTCAGTATAACGGTTATTTTGCGTACTGAAAACTCAGGATAAGGCTGTAGGTTCAGCCCTGATGAGTCATGATAGTGTCGAATCTCGCTCTGAAGATGTACTGTACGAAAAATCTCCTGGGTTTCGAGGCCTAAAGCTACATATGTCTCTCTTATTGTGCGCCTCCTCGGTCATTTGTACAGGCAGATCAGTGTGGCATGCACTGCACTGCACACTGATGTGCTTGGAGTTGGGAGGTCAGGTTGAGGTGGTGCGGCAGGGCAGGAAGTGTGCTTGACAACTGGTGTTGGTGGTGTGAATCGTGATATGCTACCCGTGAGGGTTTAGGATGAGGCAAGCTCATGTTGGTACCGGTACCGGTGCGCTATGCACTGACAAGCTGCCCACACGTTAGAAAGAGTACTTTTGAGACGTCTCAAATGCTGGTACCGGTACGCTATGCACTGACAAGCTGCCCACACGTTAGGCGTTGGAGTTGGGGAGGCGCCTTGAAGTGGCAGCAGAGCGGGCGCGCTCAGCTGTGAACCTGGCATAGTCGCTGAGAACTCGGTTGTTCACTCTGTCCTTCATTGATGCCAGCAGCTGCTGCAACACCTGAAAGCAAACACGATGGAAGGAAGGGAAGGGCGACGAGTGTGGTTGGTACAATTGCAGAGAACTCGGGATAGTCACTGAGAACTCGGTTGTTCACTCTGTCCATTGATGCTAGCAGCTGCTGCAACACCTGATGCAAACACAATGGGAGGAAGGAGGGGAAGGACGACGCGTGCTGTTGGTAAAATTGTTGAGCAAGCGGTTGCTCACCCGGTCTTTCCTTGATGCTAGCAGCTGCTGCAACACCTGGTGCAAACACAACGGGAGGAGGGAAGGGAAGGCCGATGAGTGCACTTGGTATGGTTGCTGAGAACTCGGTTGATCATTCTGTCTTTCATTGACGCTAGCAGCTGCTGCAACACCTGGAAGGAAACACAATGGGAGGAGGGAAGAGAAGGACGACGCGTGCGGTTGGTACAGTTGTTGAGAACTCGGTTGTTAACTCTGTTTTTGCATTCACGCTAGCAGCTGCTGCAACACCTGGAACCAAACAGAGTGGGGCGAGGGAAGGGCGACGAGTGCACTAGGTATAGTTGTTGACAACTCAGTTGTTCCCCCAGTCTTTCATTGATGCTAGCAGCTGCTGAAACACCTGATGCAAACAGAATGGGAGGAGGGAAGGGCGATGAGAACTATACCCAGCACTGGTATAGTTGCTGCGAACTTGGTTGTTCACCCTATTCTTCATTGCGAACTCGGTTGTTCACCCTGTTCTTCATTGCGAACTCGGTTGTTCACCCTGTTTTTCATTGCGAACTCGGTTGTTCACCCTGTTCTTCATTGCGAACTCGGTTGTTCACCCTGTTCTTCATTGCGAGCTCGGTTGTTCACCCTGTTCTTCATTGCGAGCTCGGTTGTTCACCCTGTTCTTCATTGCGAACTCGGTTGTTCACCCTGTTCTTCATTGCGAACTCGGTTGTTCACCCTGTTCTTCATTGCGAACTCGGTTGTTCACCCTGTTCTTCATTGCGAACTCGGTTGTTCACCCTGTTCTTCATTGCGAACTCGGTTGTTCACCCTGTTCTTTATTGCGAACTCGGTTGTTCACCCTGTTCTTCATTGCGAACTCGGTTGTTCACCCTGTTCTTCATTGCGAACTCGGTTGTTCACCCTGTTCTTCATTGCTGCTAGCAGCTGCGGCAACACGTGGAAGTGAGTAGAGGGGTGGAGGCAAGGCCAACGACCACAGTTCAGAGATCTCGCCAGACTCAGGTCAACTCAGGTCAGAGACCACAGGTCAACTCAGGTCAGAGACCACAGGTCAACTCAGGTCAGAGACCACAGGTCAACTCAGAGATCCAAAATGACTAGAAAGCACACCAAGCTGCCAACCCAGCCCGCCGCCAACTCAGTGTGCTGCTTTCTCGATGGACTGAAGACACACAAGGAAGAGGTTGGGCGGCACTGCGATGCAGATTCACTGCATTGCCAACTCACAGTGCTGCCAGCTAGACATGCTAGTTCACCGCTGCCGACTCACTGCGCTACCAACATTCTCTATGGACTGGCTGGGCACGAGGACGAGGTAGGGTGGCACCTGCATGCCCACCGTCACCGTTCTGCCAAACCGATACATTGTCACACAACATGCTGCTAACTCACCACACTGCCTGCCAACTCATTGCTGCCAACTCATTGCTGCCAGCTCACCGCGCTGCCAACAGCTTCAACGGACTGCCGTGGCACGAGGAAGAGGTTGGGTGGCACCTGCATGCCCACCGTCACCGTTCTGCCAAACCAGTACATTGTCACACAACATGCTGCCAACTCACCACACTGCCTGCCAACTCACCGCGCTACCAACAGCTTCAATGGACTGGCGGGGCACAAGGAAGAGGTTGGGCGGCACCTGCATGCCCACCGTCACCGCCATCTGTCCCCGCAGCATACTCCGGGCGGCACTCTGCCGGCCACCATAGCTCATGCTACTACTGCTGCTGCTACTACTGCCAGATCTGCTGGAGCTACTGTAAGCAGTCATGGTGGCGCTGCCATTCCCACTGCTGCTGCTACTGCTGCTACTGCTGCTGCTGCTACTGAAGCTGAAGCTAGAGCCGTTCCCCTGTGCCTGCCTGCTGCTGCTGGCATAGCTGGTGACAACGGTGGGCTGGTTCGGCCGGGCGGCGGACTGGGCAAAGAGGGATCCGCGCACGTCGAGGGAGAAGTTGGCTGGGTCGTAGTCCACTCCCTTGAGCTCCCAGTTGGTCTGTTGTTATGGGACAGAGCACCGGGAAAGGGAAGGAGAGACGGTTTAGTCGACTCAAGATCCACCTGTGCACGTCCAGAGAGAAGTTGGCAGGATCGTAGTCCACTCCTTTCAGCTCCCAGTTAGTCTCATACGGGAAGAGGGAGCATGGATAGGCAAGGAAGGGCGTGTGTGACAAGCGGAGCAAGTGTGTGGAGGAAACCGATTTATTTTTTAGGCACCTCCCAGATCATGCGTTATATTGGAGGAGACATTGACGAGGGCAATGCAATGAGGGGCAACTGTGCAATGAAGTTGCTGATGTGGCCCTGCATGCAATGGAAGAGCACGAGATGACTTGCCTTTGTGCCACACCAGAGCATGCAGCGATTACCATTTTCAACGACATCACCTCTGCTTGCGCCTCACTGCTCTGCTCCTAGTGGCACTTCACCCATAAAGCGTGTCGCGAGGAAGATGCGCGTGTCCACTATTGGGCACGCTGTGACAAGGATCACAAGGGATGAAAGGGCGTCTCACCGCTTGCAGGCGCATGACATGCTTCACGGAGGAAGCTTCTCGGACTCGGTCGAGCACTGGAGAGGGTTGGTCGAGGAAGATTCGCATGTCCACTATTGGGCGCGCCGTGACGAGGATCGCAAGGGATGGAAAAGCATCTCATTGCTCGCATCAGCCTCACCATTCACATGCTCACCGCTTGCAGGCGCATGACATGCTTCACGGAGGAGGCATCTCGGACTCGGTCGAGCACTGGAGAGGGTTGGTCGAGGAAGATTCGCATGTCCACTATTGGGCGCGCCGTGACGAGGATCGCAAGGGATGGAAAAGCATCTCATTGCTCGCATCAGCCTCACCATTCACATGCTCACCGCTTGCAGGCGCATGACATGCTTCACGGAGGAGGCATCTCGGACTCGGTCGAGCAGTGGGGAGGGTTGGTCGAGGAAAATTCGCATGTCCACTATTGGGCGCGCCGTGACGAGGAAGAACGTGATTGGCAGCATGTGGATGCGCCACAGGTCCTGTATCCGCAATGGGGGAATGGATGATGGCGGGATGGGCAGCACAGCAGTACATGTGATCAACATAGGGATGCAAAAGTGATCTCTGACGCGCCTCGAAAAGCAGAGGGGAGGGGCGGCGGTCGAGGAAGATTTGCTCTCGATTGGGTGGGTGCGTCCACTATTGGGTGCGCTGTGACGAGGAAGAACGTGATTGGCAGCATGTGGATCCGCCAGTCGTCCTGCACAATAGAGATCAAGAATGCCCAGCTGAATGCGCATGTTCCCGTACGTACACAGTGGTTGTGATTGGATGCTCTTTGGCTTTCAAAAACGGATGTTGACCAACACTTGTCTTGATTCGACCCGTCTCCTGCTTGCCTCCTCAAACCACCAGCATGCATCACACCACTCCTATCAATCGTCACATGGGAAGAAGAGGTGAAAAGGCAGCATAGCAGAGCGTGGCACCCAACACTGCTGTCAACTCCCTCACCTCGGAGAGCTTTTCAGAGCGCTGCTTGTCCGGGAAGAAAGCGTCAAAGACTCTGTTAGGATTCTCCAAGTACTCGTGAAAGGGCGCCTGGTGATGGGTACATGGAGAGAAAGGGCAGGAGGGTGAAGACGATGGCTTGTTTGAGTGTGACTCAAGGTGCCATGAAAGACTCTGTTGGGGTTCTCCAAGTACTCGTGGAAGGGCGCCAGGTGACGGGTAGAGCAAGAGGGAGGGGCAGGAGCGGGAAGATTAAGGGGATTTTTTAGTCAACTCAGGAAGGCGGCTCAAGTCCTGGTTCGGACTCTCCAGGTACTTTTGGAGGGGCGCCTGCTGACGTGGCGGGTGCAGCGAGAGAGAAAGGGCAGGAAGGAAAATCTGACTGGTTCTTTAGAATTCTAAAAAATTGCTCAAAAGATGAGTGCGCGCAGTCCGCTGTGACATGTGGCGTAGGTACATGAAATTTGACTCTTGAGTCGACTCAAAAGTCACATGTGGCGTAGGTACATGAAATTTGACTCTTGAGTCGACTCAAAAGTCACATGTGGCGTAGGTACATGAAATTTGACTCTTGAGTCGACTCAAAAGTCACATGTGGCGTAGGTACATGAAATTTGACTCTTGAGTCGACTCAAAAGTCACATGTGGCGTAGGTACATGAAATCTGCTCCAAACAGCAGTTTGTGGACACGAGAGCGTAAGAATGGGTGGGACTGGAAAGCCCTGGCTGGGTGGGACTGGAAAGCCCTGGCTGGGTGGGACTGGAAAGCCCTGACGGCGAAAGCGCAGCGGCGGATGGTGCGGAGAGGGCTACCTCAGGACGTTACCGCGGCGGAATGTTGGTGCCAAGCGACGCTGTGAATTCCACCAAGTCCCCAAGCCCGTTTTATGGCGCCTCAACAGCTTACCTCGAGATCCAGGACCTTACCTCTGGTCGTTCTCGGAGCGGAATGTTGGTGTCGAGCGACGTGGTGAATAGAATTACACGCAGTCCCCCATCGCCTTTTGGGGGGCCTCAAGAGTTACTTGCCGAGTGAGATGAACGTTGAAACGTTTCGAAAGTCACAAGCCTACCTCTGGTCGTTCTCGGAGCGGAATGTTGGTGTCGAGCGACGCGGTGAACTCCACGAAGTCGACACTTGCCTGCGCGACCCCCACTAGCCCTCGCTGGCCATGTCTGCCGCAATCCCCGCCGTCAATACCGGCGCCCCTTCGTCGAAGTCGCTTCGGAATTCCGGGAACGAGCTGATTCCGCAATTGCGTACTCGATTCTCGCGAGGAGTGCGAAGAATTCGGGAATTTGGGACAAATTGAGCAGTGAGGTTGGCGACGAAGCGACAAGCCTGGCGACTGCGTGCGACGGGTGACGAGGCCAGCGACTGCTTGTCGCCGAGCGTCGCACGTGACGAGAGCGCCATTCGCGGCGACGGCCGCTCCTCGGGTTGCTAGCGCTCCCCACGCCGCCATCGCAGGAGTCACCAAGGCGAAAAAGGGAGAAAAAAAAACCTAAATTATCGAAGCACACCAGAGTCGACTCAAGAGGCAGCGTAGCGCACTCGTGGTACGAAAAATACCTGATGGACCCCCACGGTACTATCTAGGATCCTCGGGTGGCTTCTCTCGCACGAAGTACTGTGGAGTGGAAATGTTGTAAAATAGGAGGATGCACATATGAGGTGGGGGAGGGGGAGCAGGGCGACAATCCCGAGGGCCGATGCCTGTCAGGGGTGCTGTGTTGGTGTCAATGCGTCCCAAGGTGGGCCCCTCGTGTCGTTTGGGCTTCCCGCTGGCAATCAGTTTGCTGACCCGAAGTCCGTAACAAAGCCCGTACTGCAGGGGCGCGATTGCACGTTTCGCAGGGTGTTCAAATCCCCGTGACTCGTTCAAAGAACAGGACCTCTCGTGCATTTCGTGCAAGCATGGATCAGGTAATGTAGGACAAACGGAATGGTTGCAAAATTCGAAAGGCTGATGCTAAGGAATGGAAGGATGCTTGTGCAAATAGTTACTTCACAGAGTTATCCTGAAAAAGCTATTAACGAAGCACTTTTTTGGATCAAGCGTTGCTGGTCACGTTCTAGGACATCGACACTTGTCAGCTACTAGCTCGACCTTTCATTCCACACCATGGCGCCTCGAGAAAGAAGCACCGAGTGCGCCACGGATGGCGCCGCGATTTCTGATCCAGGACGAAACCTATCGCATCGCGTGTCGGCACCCGCCTCCTCCGGGTCGCGACTCTGGTTCAGGATTTCATTCCCTCTCGTCGCGTCTTTCTCACCGTCGCACGTAAATCCGCAAATCTCCCGCATCTCATTTCGTCGGTTTCCCACCCGCAAGAAAATAATCTCCATCGATTGATGCGATAGTGTGAAAACATTTGTGCTCTCACGATCTTCCCCTTGCTACCTTCGTACACGTTATCGGCGAGCCTACCAAGAGTGCGCAATCATGCAGGAGAAGCAACAGCCACAGCAGCAGCAGCAGCAGCAGCAGCAGCAGCAGCAGCAGCAGCAGCAGCAGCAGCAGCAGCAGCACACGCGGCACGAGGCGCATCACGAGCTCCCAGCTACGCATGCCACGTCAGAGCGGCCCGGCCGAGTGGTGGTGGAAGGCGAAAGCATCGCGCCTTTTCTGGAGAAGCAACCCGGAAAGATCGCCATGCCCGCCAAGTCCGCTGAATCTGCCGGCCGCGACTCGTCTGAGGCAGGCTTATCTGAGGGCGGTGTATCTGAGGGTGGTTTATCCAGTGGAGGTGGGTATTCTGGTCTCGCTGCTCCTGCCAGGGAGGAATCGGAATCTTTGGAGGAGTTCAGAGTGGTTGGTAAGGGCGGGAAGGTCAAAGGAGGCGACAAGGGGGAGCCGGTGGAGCTGGAGACACGTGGCGTGCAGGGACTGGCGGAGGAGGAAGGAGCTGCTGCACGTGAGACCAAGGCAGGAGGGGGGAAAGCGCATGAGCGTGCTTCCGGGTCTGAGGAGGAAGCTTTGGAGAAGGCTGGAGAGGTGCCAAAGGGGGAAGCAACAACGGAGCAGGAGGAAAAAGCTCTGGCTGGGGAGAAAAAGCGCGCAGGGGAGAAGGGGAAAGTAGGGGCAGGGGTGGAGCAGAAAGAGGGGACAGGGGTGGAGGCGAAAGAGGGAGTTGGGGCAAAGGAAGAAGAGGGGCCAGGGGAAGGGCCAGGGGCGGGATCTGCTGTCATGCGCGGAGTGGATAAGGGGGAAGTTGCGGGCGGGCGCACTGGTGGTGGGGGCGCGGAAGGGGGGATTGAGGCGCAGGAGACTGCTGGGTGGAAGGCGGAGAGGGGGGGTGAGGAGGTGAGGCGGCTGGAAGAGGGGGTGGGGAAAATGTCGCTGGGGGAGGGGGGGGCGCAGCAGAGAAGGGGGGAAACGGCGGGTGGGAAAGGGGCAGAAGGGGAAGGGGCGGGGGGAAAGGGGATGCGCGGAGTGGAAGAGGGGCTGCAGAGGCTGACGGTTTCGGACATTGGGGGGATGAGAGGGCGCGGTGGGGAGGGGGAGGAGTCAATGGCAGGCGCGCAGGGTGGGAAGGCAGGGAAGGTATTGGAGAAGGCGAAGGGTGGGCAGGCAGGGGTTTCTGGAACGCCTGAGGGGCAGCCTGAGGTGGGAGGGGTGGAACATGGAATGAGGAGGCTGGCAGTGTCTGGTCAAGGTGGGGAGAGCAGTGGGGAGGAACGGAAGGAAGGTGGGAAGGAGGGAGGTGGGTTGGAGGTGGGGGGGGCAGAAGGTGGGGGTGGGGCTGTGGTGGGTGGCGGGGTTGTGGAGAGGGCGCAGGATGTTGCCACGTCAGCATGGACCAGCACCACTGGAGCAATTGCAGATACTGTTAAGGTGACTAAGAACTTTTGAGCTTAGTCTCAACAGTTTCTTCACAGGATCACCCTCACATGCTTAGTATCAACAGTTTTTTTTTTCAGATTTTTGTCAGGATCACCCTCACATGCTGGGCTCCCTCACTGGATTCGCCTCCACCAGTTCATTCAGTTCGGGGTTACTCAGCGTGTGCTCCCATCCCATCCCCCATTCCCGCTATCCCCGTTGCCTTCCAGGTGCTGGGCTCCCTCACTGGATTCGCCCCCACCAGTACCGAGGTGCCGGCCAATGCTGCCCGAGGCTCAGGTATGTGCACAGGTGTAGGAGGGGCTGGGGATGAGGGCGGGATGAGGGCTGCTTATAAGACGAGTGATTGTTGACGGGACAGGTGCTGCTGGTATGATGATGTGGTGGGCATGTGGCATGGGGGTAAGGGGTGTGATGGTTGTGATCTTGTGCGGTGGTGTGATCTCATGTGCACTATGCTCTTGTGCGGGGTGTGCTGGCAGGGTGTAATCGCACGCGGATGTGACATTGTGTTTGTTGTGCTGTTCGTGCTCTGTCATTCTCATCGGGTGTGTGTCGTCCATTCTCAGTTTCATAAGATCATGGCTCTGTGTAATTGCAGCAGGTGGTGTACAGGAGCGTACCGCGCAATCCCAGGAGGAGTAACTGGTACAGGAAGAGTTTGAATATGCATTAGTGTATGTACATAGTCAGGACACTTTTCAGTGAGTACTGAGAAGAACAGAATGGCAATTGCTCATCGGTTCTTTCAGTAATCCTTACAATTTTGATTTTATCACAATGTTACAGGCTCCCTCTCTAGATAACTCTTATCACAGTTTGGCATTACTACAATCTGGAGAACAAAATTTGTTGGTGATTTATGGTGCTATGCTAGATAGTTCGCTAGCAGTGAAGTGAAATTTGGTGCTATGCATCTGTGAATACTGTAGTTATAACAAGCTTGATTGCATACTGTAATCGTAACAGAAGTTCACCTGATACCGTACTACCCAGTGGGCATGCATCCTTTGTGTGCACACAACCCATAAAATCCAGTAATGAGCGTTGCAGAGCTTGGTGGATACAACACCCCAAAAATAAGCAATCCACTAGCCCAAAACCTTGATAAATCCTGTAATGCAGAGACAGAATCACACTTTGATGTTCATGCATGCAAGCAGCTGCTTAGCTCTCCGTATCCGTAGATCTCAGAGGAATCGGAGATGAAGGTGGCCGCAGATCAGGGAACATGGTGTAAGGGCTGAGGGGCCGGTTTGCATATGGCAGGTCGGATTTGCTGCTGCTGCTGCCATTTCCGGAATCACCGGCAACCTCCCATGGCCACTTCAGCTCAAGGCCCTTGGCCTCACCTTCTGAAGTTTTAACCCACACTCTCTTCGAATCAGCAGGAGCATCAGCAGCAGGAGCCACAGCTGTTGCTGCCACCTCAGACTTTGCAGGTGCTGAGACAGGTTCTGCCTTTGGCGATGCAGGTGCCGCAGGAGCAGGGGGTGGCTCTGATGTTACCTTGGCGGCAACAGGAGTTGGAGGGGATGGAGTCGGAGAGGTCGGAGGCTTCAGGTCCTCATACCTGAGAATTGAAAAGAAAAACATAACACAATTTAGGAACACACATTCGGGATAATAGTAAACAGGCACACATTGGCACAATGACCCAATCCTTACTGAGTGTAGGGAGACAGAGGGGTCGGGCTGGGTGGAAGGTCGGTGGAGGACTTCTTTTCCTCCTCTGCAACCTGCCATGGCCAACGGAAGTTGAGGCCGCCAGCACTGGCCTGTGCCGCTGGAGCAGCCTCCTTCTCCTTGGCAGCTGCTTCAGCCTTGGCCTTGGCTTCTGCCTCAGCCTTGGCCTTCGCTTCTGCCTCACCCTTAGCCTTAGCCTCTGCCTCAGCCTTGGCCTTGGCCTCTGCCTCAGCCTTGGCCTTGGCCTCTGCCTCAGCCTTGGCCTCTGCGTCAGCCTTGGCCTTGGCTTCGGCCTCAGCCTTGGCCTTAGCCTCAGCAGCAGCCTTGGCTTGAGGATCAGGCTTGGGAGGAGATGGAGTGGGAGACGTTGGGGGTTTCAAATCAGGGTACCTGAAAATCAAACAGAGGACAAAGAACATAAGTAACATAGATAATTGCTCCAGAAAATCACTCCCTTATCGTAGCTGACAGAATCCAAATACTTACATTGTGTAAGGAGAGAGTGGCGTTGGACTAGGAGGCAGATCGGTGGAACTCTTCACCTCAGCAACTTGCCACGGCCAGCGAAATGGTAACCCCCCTCCACTGCTCTTGGCCTTCGCCTCTGCTTCAGCCTTCGCCTTAGCAGCTGCGTCAGCCTTTGCCTTGGCTTCTGCCTCAGCCTTGGCCTTGGCTTCAGCTTCAGCCTTTGCTTTAGCCTCAGCCTCGGCCTTGGCCTTAGCCTCTGCTGCAGCCTTGGCCTTGGCATCAGCTTCTGCCTTTGCTTTAGCCTCAGCTTCTGCCTTTGCTTTAGCCTCAGCTTCTGCCTTTGCTTTAGCCTCAGCCTCTGCCTTGGCCTTGGCAGCAATTGCTTCAGGGCTAGGCTTAGGAGGAGATGGAGTTGGAGAAGTTGGGGGTTTCAGGTCCGGGTACCTGAAACATGACATTGGCATTATTGTATGTTATTGTTTGAATTTGAGGTACAATATGGTCCAGAATCCGCGATATTGATGCTTTTGTTTTGTTCATTTGATAATAGCCATTGTTATCTTATCACTCGAAATGTAGAACTCACATGGTGTAGGGTGAAAGCGGAGTCGGGCTTGGTGGGAGGTCGGTAGATGACTTCGGCTGCTCCACCTGCCACGGCCAACGAAATCCACCTCCACTTGCTGCGGCCTTTGCCTTGGCTTCCGCCTCAGCCTTTGCTTTAGCCTCTGCCTCTGCCTTCGCCTCTGCCTCCGCCTTCGCCTCTGCCTCTGCCTTCGCTTCTGCCTCCGCCTTCGCCTTCGCTTCTGCCTCTGCCTTCGCCTTCACCTCCGACTCCGCCTTCGCCTTCGCCTCCGCCTCCGCCTTCGCCTTTGCCTCCGCCTTCGCCTTCGCCTCCGCCTCCGCCTTCGCTTTGGCCTCCGCCTCAGCCTTCGCTTTCGCCTCGGCCTCAGCCTTCGCCTTGGCCTCCGCCTCCGCCTTCGCCTTAGCCTCGGCCTCAGCCTTCGATTTCGCCTCGGCATCAGCCTTGGCCTTAGCCTCAGCCTTTGCCTTAGCCGCGGCCTCAACCTTTGCCTTGGCTTCAGCTTCAGCCTTGGCCTTCGCTTTGGCTTCAGCCTCTGCCTTGACCTTCGCAGCAGCCTGCTCCCTGGCCTTAGCCAGTGCCTCTGCATCCGCCTTAGCCTTGGCTTCTGCCTCTACCTTAGCTCGAGCTTCAGCTTCTGCTCTTGCCTTCGCCAGTTCAGCGGCAGCTGCTGCAGCAGCCTCCTTCTCACGCAATTCACGGATGAGGCGGTCCTTCTCACGCTGGCTCAAGCTGCACAAGTACACAATGGCAAGAAGGCGAACTTCAACCAATGCCCATATATCCATGGCTTTAACCATTCGGTCGCAAAAAGAAGTCAACATCAGTCAACAGAAGTACTTACATCCGACCTTCCGCGGCTGCAGCAAGAACGGCCTCCTCCACAACCTTAGCCTCTCTAGCAGCTTGAGAAGCTGCAGCTGCTCGTGATTCGATCTCTTGGCGCTTCTGCTCGAGAGCAGCCTGCTCAGCAGCGACTGACTGGGCCTCAGCAAGAGCCTCCTCTTTTTGCTGACGAGCAAGTTCAAGCTGCTCGGCCAACTTTGCCCTTGCCTCGGCAGCCTTACGCTCAGCTGCTTCTGTCGCCCCTGCCTGCTTCTGCCTTTCCCGTTCTGAAACCGCAGCCTCCTTCTGTTTCTGCTTCCTTGTGTCCACTACAACAACTTCCTCCTGCCAGCAAATGACAGACAAATGTGAGACGAGAAAATAAACTCCAGCAGATGTATTGCAAAATCAATAATCCCAACAATAAGCTTACCACTTCGTCGTATTCGTCATCATCCTCCTCCACATCATCTGAAGGAATGGCCGCCAAGAGGCTCTCAATAGATTCTTCGGGGGCTGTCGTCTCAGCAACCGCTTCCACAACCTTGTTGGCTGCAAGATTTGGCTTGTTCAACGCCACCGCAACCAGCTCGGCAATCTGCATCAACGTGCCCACGAGTTAACTACATTGCACATAACTACGAAAGCGTTAACGGGTTGTAAGTCCAAATACTTGGCATACCTGCAAGGTGGACACTTGTCCGCCCGTTAAAGTGCCACCCTCCTCCAGCTTCAGGTTATGTGTTTCCTTGAAGGAATCAGTCGGCCTCTCCATTCCACCAGGACGAATGATCTGTCAAATACCAGTTGCCACCAAAATCAGCATTGCAAGCACAAAACCTCGCGAGCTTCGTAACATGGATTAGCTACAGTGACGTACCAAATACGGAACGCCGCTCGCTATCAAGGTCTTCTCAGCCTGCGCCTTCCAGAAGAGGACGCCCCAGAACAAGCTGAGGGGAGAACGATAACTTGTGTGAGAAACCAGTCATTTTTCGAAGAAAAGAGGAAGACAGAAGACGGTACTTACTTCAGAAGCGACGCAGGAAATCCGAACTTCCCAGTGCCGATCGACGAAATCATGATAAATTGGTTCACTCCAAGCTCGGCAGCTGAAATGACAAAAATTTGCGTCAAGGTACGTAATACACAGCCAACCCAGGACCGATAAATAACGGAAATACAACGACTTACATGCGTTTATCAGATTCTCCGTTGCAACCTTATCCACGCTGTACGGCCCGGAGACATTGAGCAGATTCTCGGATGCACCAATGGCGCACACAACCTTTCCAGCGTTGCCAATAGCTTCCTCAACTGACTCCGGGTCAAAAATGTCGAACTCCACAAGCTCCACATCGGCCTCTTTCCCAAAAAACAGCTGCAACAAAAAAAAGCAGTCCGTTAGAATTGCTCCGCAAGTGGCCAAGGGATGTGCACATAAGATTGTCACTTACATCAAAAAGTCCCTTCTTAGGCGGTGAAGGAAGCTGCAAACACCAAGACCGAGGTACGACTGGAAGGTAAGAACTACGGTAAACGATAATTGGCAATGCGAACGACTTAACAAAACTGCAACTTACATCAGTGAGGACCTCGTCTGCCTTAGTAAGGCTACGCACTCCGGCTCGGACCTTGAATCCAGCCTTGATAGCCTCCCTGTATTAGAAAGTGGATATTGTGAGGTCCCAATCTGGTTGCATCAAAGCTAATTGCAACCTGAGTGTGAGTGTAGTGTATACCTGACCACACGAGAGCCAACTCTGCCAGTTGCCCCGGCAATAAACACAACATTGTCGTCACGGGAATTGTTGTCAGACTTGGCAGCACCGAATAAATTGAAGGGTGAAAACACGAATTTCTGGGTCCCCTTCTCTTCGACCTCCTCAATCTCCTCTGTTACTTTCTGAGTACCCTTGTCTCCTCC